ATAAATTATTATAGGATAGCTATTTAATGCGACTTTTACTTATGTTTAATAATTTAATAAAAACGTTTTATTTTGATTTGTTTATTATCGTTACTTTGTTCTGCGTTCTTAACATTATTGTAAATTTATTTTTTTGTAAATCTATCCCACGAAATAAATATCAACTCGTTTTTGACATTACTCGATTTTTTCTATTCTTATTATTCTTCCTTTAGGATCACTATATGTATTATTTTCTAAGTGAAAGTTATTATGGAAGGCTGCGATGTTGCGCTACTGAATATTAATGTTGCGAGTAAGGGCCGTTTCACACGGAGCCGACGGACTGCGATTGAACGCGCGTTTGTAATCGCTTGTCGGTCTCACTAAGGAGCGTTTGGTTAGAATCTCGTTGCGTTGTCAATATCACTGCTGTCTTTTTAGTACGGTCGGAAAAATTTTGTAAATATTATATAGGCTTTTCTAATGACTATTTACGTCACAGAGATAATGACATAAGAAAGGCGCGGTAATACCAGCGATAATCAAATGCATAGTTAATCCATATTGTTGTAAACAGTCATGTACCTCGGTTTCTATTTCATCGTCTCTCTCTACATCTTATCTATCTGTCGTTGTTTTCTCCCTTCGTTTTCACCGTGTAGTTTCCCCAACTGTACGCCGATTGAAGGCATTGAATATATTTTATATAGATCAATAGATTCTACTACATTTACAGTGTTTTTCAACACCCCATCCAGATTCACCGAATCGTATGAAACACATATGCTGTAGGTTGTAGTATCTTCTTTCTGTTTTATGATAAATTTTCAGGATAAGACATTAAAAGAATTAAATATTAGTAATATTTTCGCACAAAAATGGAAACGGTGTGTAATAATAACAGTAATTTATCGACATGATTTGGATAACGTAGTAATCATAGAATATAAACTATAAAAAGAGTTTTTGAAAAGGATTTTTTACTATTTTTAGTTACTTGTGGTGTTGGGAATAGAAAGAATAGGAGAACAGGAAGTCAATAAGAAATAGGCGAGATAGGTTAGTAGGACTCCTTCTCAGGTATGAAGGTCTAGTCAGAGACATTAGAGACAGAAACTGAAGAGAGGTAGAGGTAGACCTAGATTAGATTACTGTTCGTAGATAGTTAAGGATGTGGGTTGTTCTAGTTTTAGGACCGAGCGGCATGGCCTAGAGGTCTAGACCATTGCTTAGCATTCGGGAGGACGCCGGTTCGACTCCGGGTCCGTCTGCCTTGGTACAAGTTTTTCTGTGGTTTCCTTGGATCACTTAGGCAAATGCTGAGGCAGTAATATTCCACAGATAATCTTTCAGTCTCTTCAGTCTTCATTTCGTCCGTCTCATCTTTCTCACCCGAACTACCACCCACTCATTCGAATTGCGAATAAGTGCTCCTAGATTGACTCCAATTAGATCCGAAGATCAAGTTGATAGAATGGTAAAGGAATATGAAACACGAATCACTTATAAAGGTTTGTACACTTCTCAAACCGAGTCTAGGTGTCTAGAGGTTTAGACCACTGTTTAATATACGGGAAGACATCGGTTCGATTCCGGGGTTGTCTGCCCTGATCCAAGTTTTTCTGTGGTTTCCTTGAATTACCCAGGCAAATGCTAGGATGCTGGTCCAGTAATATCCTACAAATAATCTTTCACTTTCTCTGTTCCGTCTTCATTTCATCTTTCCCACTCCAACCACCAGCTGGTGGCTACCCATTCCCACAATTCCTGAAAGCAGGCTGAAGAGGGCCTTTCTCCCTACCTTCCGCCGTAGTCCGAAGGGACTGCCCGCCCACCAGCATTACCGGCTGGTGGGAATGAAACACCCGAAAGTTTTTTTTTCTAGTTTTAGGAAAATGCGAAGATTAGCTCAGGATAGGAAAGAGTGGAGGTACGTGTCCACCCAATCTGAGGACTGACGACCTTATGATGATGATGATGATGGTGTTGGGGTTGAGAAATGACACCATCAAAAGAGTGACTCAATATATTTTATTAAAAAATACTGTTTATTCAAATAATTTGCAAGTACTTATTATCGTTAAATAAATTGATATCCTACATCTATAGGTACATACTTTTAGGAGAAAACAACTTATTTATTAACATATTAAATTTAAGTTTTATTTGAGCAAATGTCTTAATGAATTATATGTGTATCTCGAGCGCATAATTTGCTTGATAAGTGAAATTAATAGTATTATTTTTGTAATTTACTGTTCAACAATTCATAAAATTCCTCAGTGCCTTTTTGATTAGCTTCTTTATAATATGGAAGACTTTCCATTCTCTTGAGCCACGTACACATGCGAGGATAAATAGAAGGAGTAAGCGGCACAAAATACATTAAGCTTGTAACGGTAGATACTATACTGAAATCGGCGATTGTTAATTCATTTCCAGCAAAATAATCCGTTTTCTCTAGGAATGCTTCAGCCCAGTGATATCCTTCTTCGATGTCTTCAAGTTTTTCTTGGGGTACTTCTTTGCTTCCCCGTTGAACAATTTTTATCTGAAAATATGTAGTAGAATTGACAGCAATACGTATACATACATTGTAGGAAGAAATATAAATCCTTACGGTTAATGCACGCATTCTTGGGAACAGAATGGTACTTTCAAAAAATAGTCTTTGGTTGACAATCGCCCTCTTTTGAGGATCTTTTGGGTATAGAGAATCATTTTTGATATATTTGTCTAAAAGGTATATCATAATAGCATGGCTATCCCACATAACAAATCCATCATCATCTTGAAGAGTGGGAACGATTTGTTCAGGATTAAGCTAAAAAAGATGTTTAATGCTCGTTTAATGTTAAATGTCAACTTTTCTTAACAAAATTCAAGGTAAGACATTCGTTTTTATATATTGTTACGTACAAGCATGTATGTTATAATCAATGTATTTATTCCCGACGCCTCTTAAGTATGCCCGCAGGCAGAGACAAACCGATGCTCGTCAACGTTTATACTAAAGACGCGGAGGGTAATAAATCATACTCTGAGTGACACATATTTACGGCTTAACGAAAGGAGTTCTAGAATACTCTAGAACAGAGCCGGGCAAACTTTAACTTCGTAGGAGCCGCTACCTGAGGTTAATTTGGGTCACTCCATATCCTTCCATGATTACGAGAGTGTAAGCAGTAGATAATGAGCCATATTGCTTTCTCTTTTTCTTCTCCCTTCCACTCCCATATCAAGCCCCTTCATCCCGTAGACGAGCGAAGCCTCTCGCAATTTAAATAATACCTACGAAAATTTTCTAATGATCGTCCCGCAGCTCAGGGGTAGCATGACGGACTACGGTCCCAATACTATTGGGTTCGGCTATGGAAGAGGGGACTCAACTACGAAATGGAAGGGATAAGAAAAAGAAAGAAACATCTCACTCGTGCTCGCAGGGGCAGTGAGGAGCTCCTTGGCTATACCTGAGGAACACTCGAGAGTCAAAAGAGCCGTGTTTGTCCGGCTCTGGTTTATACTAAAGACGCGGAGGGTAATAAATCATACTCTGAGTGACACATATTTACGGCTTAACAAAAGGAGTTCTAGAATACTCTAGAATAGCACTGCCAAAACTAGCAATGCATTTTGAGCGTCGTATGGCTCCCATGTTAAATTCGAAGTCGCTAGATGGTTCAGCTAAGACGGCGCTAGAGCGAGTGAGATAGCAATATTTACGTATTGTCAAAACTCAGGTATAATTTGGGTCATTTTGCTGTCTTTGTTGCTCGAACGTCGCTTCAGCCGACCCGCGTGCTCTCTGTATATCGAATGCTAGACCTTTTCTGTCCCACCTAATCCGACCCATTGTTTTGCATGCTAGTTTCGACATAAAGGAAGTTTGGACAGCGCTCTCTAGAAGAATGAAGCCCAAGTGCAATATAAACTATTCTATAATCAATTTATCATTAAAAAATTCTTAAACAGTAGAAAGCAGTAATGTAGTGCATGTTTCTAGGGGTTTCAAATAGACTTCTTGATGTCTAATGATTTAGACGGCTTTAATCTTATGATGTATGTATTGATTGCTTTGAGGATTTAGGAATTAGGATTGGAGAATTTTTAACCCTAACAAATAGCATTGGACAAGGGTCCTAAGATTGTAGTACAGTAATAAGGATTCTTACGCATTTATTTGATTTTTTTTTTGTTTTCTAAAACAATTCAGCTTAACGATTATACTTTCTTTTTGTTTAAAATAGAGATATGCGTTTCGCTTCTATTTACGTTTATCGATACTTTGTAAATAATATACCTGCTATCAAATCTAGATATAAAAGTTGTTTGTAATGACGAGGCTAACTTGGGCAAGCTAGATAAACACCTTTCAAATATTATTATTGTATAAACCGTATACAATTCGATGGATAGTTTCTCCATTTTGTAATGTTTTTATTTAATTTAAACAAGGTGGTATTAATGGGTTATTAACATTCAGTTAATGATATAGATACAATATTTACACCAATTGTAGATTTTCCATATTTTCCAAAAATATCGAGAAAGTTATATAAAACATTATTTAAATATCTTGAACATAATTATTTTATTGAATTTTATTTGAATTGTAGTGTATGAAAATTGTCAAAATAATCAACTTTTTATGGGGGTGAGAGCGCCGCAAATTTTTTATGGAGTTTTACTCAGGTGACACCCTCTTTCGATCCCCCCCATCCCAACCCCGAACTTTTTATGGGGATGAGACTGTCACGAACTTTTTATGGTACAGTTGTGGGGGAGACCTCCTCTTTCGATCCCTCCTTCGGGGGTGGGGGGCATCATCTAGACCTTTACCGTTCTTTTAATTGAATGTCTTAATGGTATCGCAAGAATTATCAAAACAAACCTATACCAACGCTAGATTCGTAGATGTTGTCACATTATTATATAGTGATAATGATAATCAGTAAAATGAGGGTTAATAAATAAATAACTGTTGTTCTGATAGCCACGATATGAATAGATAAGATAGAGGAAGTTCTACATCCTCAGTACTCTTTCAATGTGTTATTTTTTCAAAACAACTTAAAATATTAATAATAGAATCTCTTTACTGTTTTGGAAACAATAAGAATATTTTTTGTTATATTCATTTTTATTATTCAAAAAATTTGTGTAATTGTTAAAAACAAAAAAAAAAATTATTGTACATCATCATCATAATTGAATGAACAACTTACCTTTGTGAATTCGGGCGTTTTGTGTTCTCCAACAAGCAGATTGACTCGTTTATAAACCAAATTAAAATTAGTTGCTTTGGCCAATAGAAATACAGCCCTGCACGGAGGACTTCCGGCAATTTGGTATAAGATTGGAGCCATGCTTTAATTCAACTTATGTACTTTATAGTTGTTAGCGTTTGGATTCCCAATGTATACTGAACGTACACTCGCGCGTTTTATTTTATTTTAAGCATTCAATATCTATGTAAGTATGTCATTCAAGCTGCTAACGGATCAGCTATTACGTCATATTTAACAGTCAAGTCATGGAAACGTTTTCTAGTAGCGAATTATAGGATACTTGAATTTAATAAATAGAAATACTGGTTCATCATCCTCATCTTCACAGAATCGTCAAACTGGTTGAACATGCACAGCCACTCGTTCCTTTCCTGAGCTAATCTTTTCATTTCCTTAAAACTAGAACATTCTACATCCTTAACCATTTATGAATAGTAATCTAATCTAAGTCTACTTCTACTCCTCTTAATTCCTGTTTCTTCTAATATGTCTCTTACTAGTTCTTCACGCCTGAAAAGGTGTGCTACCAATGTATCTCGCCTATTTTTTAGTGTTGACTTCCATAGCGCCCTCTATTCTCCTACTCAGTACCACAGTTAATATGAGTGCCAAGTAGGCAAATTATACTTCATTTACTTTCTCTAGCGAGAAAAAAGCTCATTATAGTCTCGACTCTTGTTCATTAAACATACTTTTTCATACAGTACCTATCAAAAGTTTTGTTCAACCATGAATAGTAGTGCATGTCGAAAATAAGCGTTAAAGCCTTTAATATGTCTTCAAATATAAATAAACGTCTCGTTGATATTTTCAGTAGTAATTGGTACCAATAACAGCACATTTGAGCAATGCAATTGTAGTGGATAAAATGGTCAATTTTTCCGTGCAGTACTGTACGGATTATACGCTCCTCACCGGTTAAGAGTTTGGCCGAGNTACAGAAAGTAAACGAAGTATACGTATTCATATTTTTTACTTACTGAGCACTGTAATACGTACACCTAATTAATTTCACCAAAGTGCAAACTTTCATCTTTGGAGCCATGTCTTTTAATTAATAATAATCTACCTAATCTTTCAAAATCGCCATATACCTACAAGACAACCAACACACAATTGTAAATATAATTTCTATAATAATTAGTTGTTTTAATTTAATTTTATTATCAGGTATTGTGGTCAATTCCCTTTTGCCCTTATCACTATGTCATCATGTCTTTAATGGCGGTAAATGGGTGAATTATGGTCAGTGAATAGTGTGAAACTCGAACCATTTAATTTTAGAAAAGTATTAAAATTTTCTAAATTTCATAGTTGGAAAGCATATTTGGCACTATTGGACAATGGTAAGCTATTTGTACTTGTTTTGTCTACTGGATGAATATTTAGACGCCGTCACTGTCAGGTATGATTTTTGTGTTAATGATCACAAAAAACCAAATAGATACACATTTACTTTATTTAAAAGAAATTAGCAAGAAACACAAATTTGAGACCCCAGAGTAAAAATGTAGGTACTTATAGATCACCTTTAACTTTGTAATTTCTGCTTCAATGATTGATAGAGCTGATCTGTACCATCTTGATTTGCCTCCTTGTAATACGGAAGGCTTTCCATCCTCTTCAGCCAGGCATGCAATTTTGGATAATTAGATGAAGTCAAGGGTACAAAGAACATCAGACTTGTAATAGTTGATACGATGCTAAAATCTGCAATCGTTAAATTGTCGCCAGCGAAATAATTTTTGTTTTGCAAAAAGGCTTCCGCCCAAGCATATGCTTGTTTTATGTCATCAAGTTTTTCTTGTGGAATTTCCTTACTATTGTGGAAGAAAATTTTTATCTGAAAATAAATTTTCTGATTAATATCGTCTGTATATTTGTTAAAGAAGAATAGAGACCATAGGGGGGTACGCATAGCAAATAGCCCCAGAGGGATATATCAAAATCATTTTTCAGGATATCAATATTAGTACTAATCAGATTTGTTGATACTGCAAGTTTCAGACCTCTATCTGTTTTGGCTTTTGAATAAATCGATAAAAATCAAAAATCAGAAAATTGTTTGATTTGAATACGTTACGGATGCAGATAAAAATATTTATAATAATCATCATAAAAAAAGGGGTTTCTTCGAAAATTATATTTTTTCTTTATGGCAACGTTCTAGAACAATTTTGAAGAAAAGAGGTTTATGTCTCCACCCAAATATTTAAATTGATCAAAAATGTACGCCACACTGAAAAAAAAAATAAATTTTGGCATAAAAAGCAATTTATTTGGATAAGTATTTATATCTTTGAAACAGCAGAAACGAAACGTGTTTAACTAATTTTTAAGTGATAGCCTCATTAGGAAATATTGAAAACAACAATTTTCTTTTTATCAGAATATTTAGAAATTGTTTATAAACTAAATAAAATGATAGTTTAAAAATCGTGAAATTGACGAAATTACAAATATATAAAAATAACATATTATATTAAACAGCTTATCGTCCTATTAACTTTCAAAATCGTTAAACATTTACTGGCGAGAAAGAAGTGTTTTCTCCATTTTCCTTTTTTTAATTGATAAGAAATGTACAGGAAGTATAAAATAACATTAAGAATGTGATTGGCTTACCGTTAAAGCACGCAATCTGGGAAACAGGATTCCACTATCAAAATGAAGCATTTGGTTTATAACTGCCCGTGCTTTGGGACAATTTGGATATAAGGAATTATTTTTGCCATACCTTTCCATTAGGTAGACCATTATTGCATGACTGTCCGAAATAACAAATCCGTCATCATCTTGCAACGTTGGGACAGTCTGTTGAGGATTAATCTAAAATGGAAGCAAAGTATTTGAATTATAAGCAGCTAGTTATAGTTGTAAAAATACATAAATAATGAAAAATACTTTTGGTTGCTTAATTTTCACCAACTACTAAAGCTGATGGTCGAGAAGTCCCTCCGGACTACGCCGGAGAAGACTCTCTTCAGCCCCCCTTTTTGTAATCGCAGGAAGGGTGTGACGAACCTTAAGTAATGGTCTAAACATCTAAAGTCAAGACCATGCCGCTCTCTGTCATACACAGGGGATGTTCCGAAATAAAACCCAGCATACTGGCAAGTGCTGATGACGTCATGAATTGACGACATATTGTACTGGTGTGCCACCATATTGTACCTGGTAAGACAATTGTGACGTAGTAGTAGATCAAACATACTTTGAGGAATTTTTTTTGTAAGAAACTTTATTAACTTTTGGAGCAAAAACCCAAACACTATCCCCAATATGGCGTCAATTTGACGTCAACGTACTGGCCAGTATGTATATTTCGGAACGTATGGCGTCGATGCATGACGTCATCAGCATTGGCCAGTATGCTAGGTTATGTTTCGGAACACAACCATAATAACATTTTGCGCACTTATAATAATCAATAATTTCTTACCTTGGTAAATTCGGGTTTTTTGTGTTCTCCTCCAAGGACGTCTAGAGTTTTGAAATTAGCTTGCAAACCAGCTGCCTTCAGTAAAAGATAAACAGCTCTGCATGGGGGACTTGATGGGATATCGTACAATGTTGGAGCCATTTCGTTTATAACAATTGAACATAAATTTTTAAACGGTACTTGTTAGCGTTACTCAGCAACTGATGAAAATAATATTCGGTACGTGCGGTATTTATGCAATACTTCACTCCACTGTAATAATATTCCATTAAAAAGTTTATGATAAGCGGCGGTTATCAAATATGCCCTGATTCATGAACCGTTTCAAATTTTTATGTTTGTGTTGGAATTGTGTTGATTTATTGAAATACTTAAGTAGTAGATATTAAAGTAGTATGAATTACTAACACAGAAGAAACTGAGTTTTTTAATACAGTCCCTCACAATTAAAAATAGGTAGACTTTAAAATCCAGATTTGTAGTATTTTGCAGGATCCTTTGGATCATCGAACATGCTCTTTCTAATAAAATTAATCGTAAAATATTTTCATACCGGTAACACTTCCTGTTCTAGATTCAAATGAAATATTATGCATATTTTTACATTTCTGAATTTTAAATTGAATTATAATGTCCGATTTAAGTGCACTTTTTTTCAAAAATCTTAATCGTGACCGAGATGTTTCGAATTTTTGAAAATGTATTATGAAAACATATAATCCTTCTTATTAGCGATGATAAACTTTTAACGACATTTTTCCATAATTCGAATAATATACATAATATAATTTGTGCATATAATATATATGTAATAGAAATATNGCAGTCCTTCCGGACAACGCCGGAAGGTAGGGCGGAAGGCCCTTTTCAGCCTGCTTTCAGGAATCGTGGGAATGGGTGGGTGGTGGTTCAGGTGAGAAAGTTGAGACGGACGAAATGAAGACAGAAGAAAATGAACGATTATCTGTGGAATATTACTGCCTCTTCAAAATCAATTAGCTATCACGACACTCTGAACTTCATTGACTATTAATTGTAATGCAAGATAATCCGTTAATAAGGATTTTATTAAATATACAGGATGTTTCATGGAGGTATTTTTAATTATTATTTCATAAGTTGCTTTTCATAAAATTTTGTTACGCCAATGACAAAGAATATCTTCATTTTCACATTATTATATTAATACCATACATCAAGAAGTTCTCAGGTAATTTAATAGACACCTCAATAAACCTAATTCCAATTACTTACTAAGAACATCACTAGATTTTATTATTTTTCATTAGCGTCACATATCAACTGATGACGAATGTTACATAAGTTTTTACGATAAGAAATAAGAACAATCATGTTACTAAAAGGCATTTATTTGTCTAAAGGTTAATGAACTGTGTTATTGTTTTCAGCTGTTTTATCTGGGTCTTTTACATTTAGTTTACAATTATACGGGGATCTATTTACATGCTTTCTCCAAAAAAGCTATCACATTGTCCCTTTCATCGGCTTTTTTCAATCCAGCGAATGTCATTTTGGTTCCTGAAAAAGGATATAGGTAACTTAAAACAACAATAGCAAAGGTATATGAAGAAATTTTGGAGAAAGAAGTGGCTGATTTTAAATATCTAGGAAGTCAGATAAGTCAGGACGGAAGGACTAGTAGGGATATAAAGCAGAGGATAGCGCAGGGTCGAGTCGTCTTCAATAAAAAGAAGTCAATTCTATGCTCGCGAACGATAAATTTAGAAATTTGAAAAAGATTGTTAAATGTGTATGTTTGGAGTACGGTGCTGTATGGGTGCGAAACATGGACAGTGGGCGCGGCGGAAAAGAAAAGGTTAGAATCATTCAAAATTTGTGATGCTGACGGCGAATGCTAAAGATACCGTTGATGGAGAAGGTTAGAAATGAAGAGGTATTAGAAATAAAAGGAGAATAGAAGACTGTATGGAAGTCAATAAAAAATAGGGCGATACGTTGATAGGACACCTTCTCAGGCATCAAGGTCTAGTCAGAGACATAATTGAGGTAGAAACGGGAGTTAGGAGTAGAGGTAGATCTAGATTATATTATTGTTCGCAAATAGTTACGAATGTAGGATGTTCTAGTTTCAGGGAAATGCGAAGATTAGCTCAGGATAGGAAGAAGTGGACGTCCACGACCAATCAGTCTTAGGACTGACGACCTACAAATATTATAAGTGCTATCAGCACAGGGCAAAATAGTATTACGTAAATGAAAGTTAGTATCAGCAATTTATTCTGAAGTGTACGGTGTGTTGCATACCTACTTACAAACAATTCCTTTAAATTTTAATCACTGATTACTATACATCTATTAAAAAACTATAATGGCCGACATCATTGACAATGCGACAACAATTGAAAAAGAATGATGGCCGACAACAGCAACAATTAGAAAAGAATGATGGCCGACAACAGCAACAATTAGAAAAGAATGATGGCCGACACTACGTCATAGTGGAACAATAAAAATGGCCGACTATTGACAATACGAATAAACGTAGAGCTTTTTTTAATTATAATTATACTAATATATATAAAATTAAGAGTGTTGTCAGCACAGGGCAAAGTCCAACTATTGCTGTCACTGATGTCAATGCTTTAAAGCGCACGAATATAAACAGTTACAATCAAAACGATTTTCAAACAATTTTTAACACAATGAAAGTGATTAAACAAATTGTTCACGAAAGTTAATTTCGACCGCTCAAAGCATTAGTGCTTAGAACTAGTGTAGAATAATAATTTTTCTTAAAAATAGCGATATAAAGACCCTTAGGTAGTTGCACCTTTATTTCATATGCCTAGACGTCACTGGAGTTATTTTTTAATTGTTTTATATATCTAACTCTTACTAGGCTCTATGTGTAATGGTCTTATACGAACATCTGCTTTTTGTGTAATCAATATATAAATTCATTCTTATGTCGCGCATTTTAGCCATGCGGAAACCGTTTGGCCAGTTGTTCCGCATACTTCTTCAGTGAACGTAGATTGCTATAACATCATTAATTTGATATATGGTTCGCTCATTTGGGACCTACTTAAACAATTTGGCTAGTTTTTCGTAATAGACCTGAAGCTGAATGGGAAGAGTCTCGTCCTGGACGCGTCTGGCGCAATTTAGATTTTATTGTTATTTTAGAGGTTTTTCTAGCATTCAAAAACTAACTTAATACTCTTCTACATCAGGAAAATCGTTACAATTTGTGACATGTTTCACATTTTTCCCTTACACAATTTTGTACATTTACGTCTTTTATAAAAACTACAAATGGATAAATATTCTATCACCTGGAACATATTTCTTGGGATCTGAAAGGTATTCATTCAAAGAGGACTTGTTCCAACTGATAGCTTTGCTCTTCATACTGTCCGAGTAATTGAATCCTGGCGCAGTTCCAGACTTCCTACTGAACATCCCGTTTAAGTTCGGACCGACCTTGTGCTTTCCTCCTTTTTCTGTTGTATGGCATGTTGCGCACACCTTTGTGAACGTTGATTTGCCCTTATCAGCGTCTCCCATTCCACAAAAATTTTAACACCTGTCAAAGTTTTAGAAATGCCAGTTGGTTATCTTGGGCTACTTGATTTATAACAACTGGCGATATATATAGATACTGCTGTAAAAAAAAAAAACTTTTGGGTGTTTCATTCCCACTAGCCAGTAATGCTGGTGGGCGGGCTGTCCTTCCGGACAACGCCGGAAGGTAGGGCGGAAGGCCCTTTTCAGCCTGCTTTCAGGAATCGTGGGAATGGGTGGGTGGTGGTTCAGGTGAGAAAGTTGAGACGGACGAAATGAAGACAGAAGAAAATGAACGATTATCTGTGGAATATTACTGTCTGCCTAAGTGGTCCAAGAAAACTACAGGAAAACTTGGACCAAGGCAGACGGACCCGGAATCGAACCGGCGTCCTCCCGAATGCTAAGCAATAGTCTAAACCTCTAGGCCACGCCGCTCGGTACTGAACGTACAAAAAAAAAAAACTTTTGGGTGTTTCATTCCCACTAGCCAGTAATGCTGGTGGGCGGGCAGTCCTTCCGGACAACGCCGGAAGGTAGGGCGGAAGGCCCTTTTCAGCCTGCTTTCAGGAATCGTGGGAATGGGTGGGTGGTGGTTCGGGTGAGAAAGTTGAGACGGACGAAATGAAGACAGAAGAAAATGAACGATTATCTGTCGAATATTACTGTCTGCCTAAGTTGTCCAAGAAAACTACAGGAAAACTTGGACCAAGGCAGACGGACCGGGAATCGAACCGGCGCCCTCCCGAATGCTAAGCAATAGTCTAAACCTCTAGGCCACGCCGCTCGGTACTGAACGTACAAAAAAAAGAAAAAACTTTTGGGTGTTTCATTCCCACTAGCCAGTAATGCTGGTGGGCGGGCAGTCCTTCCGGACTACGCCGGAAGGTAGGGCGGAAGGCCCTCTTCAGCATGCTTTCAGGAATCGTGGGAATGGGTGGGTGGTGGTTCGGATCAGAAAGTTGAGACGGACGAAATGAAGACAGAAGAGAATGAAAGATTATCTGTGGAATATTACTGCCTCAGCATTTGCCTAAGTGATCCAAGGAAACCACGGAAAAACTTGGATTAAGGCAGACCGACCCAGAATATATGGGTCAAATATTGTAGGTCAAAACTAATAACAAAAAAAATAGTCTGTAATTATTTTCTTTCAAAAATTCGGATGTTCAGTGCTCTCCATTACTTGTATTAATATTTTTCAAATCCGTATTTATTACTTAAAACCTTTGTTTGTAGTTGTAACGCTATAATTACCCACCTTGCAAAAATTCATTAAAATGCAAGGGCGAAGCCATTTTTACAACACAGCAATAAATGGACAAATTACGTACTTATTTACCCAGATGGCTATTGTTATCATTTACATAGTCCTCGTTAAGATAACACTAATTTGGTTTGTATTACAATATTAAAACTTATCTGATAAACATCTGTTGTCGGTGAACTGAAGCAACACCGTGCAGGTATTCATCGTCAGTTGTTACTCGAGCAACTCAATTGAAATTACAACTCATCACAGAAATATTGTTGTTAACAATTATAGAATGAACGTTTGCTTTATGTGTACATAAAGTGTACTATTGTTATATTAATAGAACTTCAAAAATAAAACCTGGATATGTAATAGACAAATTAAAAAAAAAAAGGCTGAAGCTGCATCAATTTCACTTCCAAATACTGACAGACTCGAGTTATAAACCGTTATTATATTGACTAACTCTTCGAATTGATACGGACAACAGTATTAATGAAACAAAATGTCGTATTTGGATCGAAGTCAATTTATTATTTAAACAAAAATATTTTACCACAAATTTTCTTAAGCAGGTTTTGGGTTTACGAGTGCTTGAAGTATCTGAAGTGCTTTTTCGTTGACTTCATCGAAATACGGTAACTCTTTCATTCTCTTAATCCAGGCAGTGATTTTTGGAAATTCATCTGGCGAAGGCGGGCAATACACGATCGAAACAACTTCCGTTGCTAGACTGAAGTCTGCAACAGTAAGTTCATTTCCGGCAATATATTTCCCCTTTTCCAGGAACTTTTCCAGGAAGCCATAAGCTTCTTTTATTTCGTCAATAGATTCCTGGGAAATCCCGGCTTCTGGATGAAACAAAAGACCTACCTAACATAAAATAATTGAAGTTACAGATACATGAGATGTCTAACACTAATTACAGTAGAACCTCTTTAAGTCGAATCTCGATAAGTCGAAAACCTCCAAAACTTGAAAAAATGTTTTGTTCTCTTCCCTTCAAGCCCCAAAACCTCCATTATTCGAAATCTCAACCCTCTATTAATCGAAATAATCAGTGAGTCCCTGCAAGCCATTTTGGTACCTTTACAAGCTGATAATTTGAAACTTTTTACGTCTATTGTTCGAAGAAAACTAAGTTATCGACTTTAATGATTTTCCAACATTGTAAGTACACCAAATATTAACCTCTACAAGTCGAATCAAAATCCGCCTAAGTCGAAAAATCTCTAACTCGAATTTTTTAGCGTCTTCCTTGATGCTCGAGTTATAGAGGTTCTACTGTATTATGTTATGTACATGTAAAATAAACTCACAAACGTTCTTGCAATTCGTGGAAATAATGTGCCACAGCTAAAATGAAGTCTTTGGTCTATAATTGCTCTTTTCTGTAAATCTTTTGGATAGAAAGAACTTTTTTCGTCGTACTTGCTGGCCAAATATGTATTAATTGCATGACTATCCCAAACTGTAAAACCATCTTCGTCGACCAAGGTTGGAACCGTATGTTGAGGATTTAACTGTAATGTAGTCATTTAATACTTCACCCAAAATTCTATTTTCGCATCATACACGACATATCAAAACTCCAAATACTATTTTCATAACAAAAACTATACCAAAACAGTTTATCAAAAATGAATTAATATGTTTACATGAGGACTTCTGAAATAAGTCAATGAAAAATACAAATATCAATTATTATAAACATGTACATTGAATAAACAAAATGTACTGTTATTTTTAATAAACTTTTATCAATTTGGAAATCTTTATCGGGTCTGCCGAATAATTTCATTTTAATTAATTCATATCACGATAATTTCAAGGGTTCTTCACATTATCATTTTGAACGGTATTTTCAGAAGAGTCAAAAGATTACAATAAGAATACCATCCGACTTCGAATCATGATTGCGTACTCGTCGTTCAAAGCAGTTGGGGTGAGCAAAGATTGATCAACGATCCATTCAGCCCTTAACATTACATTGGAGATGGGGAATCGGTACTTTGGGCACGGTATAAAGATTCTATACAGTAAGGAGAGGGATGCATGCGCGTGGTTAGAAGTGAACTTACTGTATGGAATCTTTATACTGTGGTATGGGCGTGGCTGGGAAGTGAATCTACTGTAGAGAATCTTTATACTGCGCTTTGAGCGTTTTCGATGACAATGTCAATAATACGTAATAGCTGAGTAGATATTTTAGTTTATTCACGAACTGCAGTGGCATAGTGACAAATAAAATTATTGTACCATCGGATTAATGAATTCCATTAGTGTTTTAGAGGACAATGCGTTTTCGCGTTTAAGATAAATATGATGCACTGAAAAATTAAACTGCCGATGCCTCACTTACGTTTAAACGGGCCGATAAACGACAAATGTAAATATTCAAAAGAGAGCGTTACTTACTTTTAGAAATTCCGGTTTATGTTGTTCCCTTTGCATTAAATCCACACGCTTAAACGTTACATTTTTTAATCCCAGTGCTTTTATAGTTAGAATGCTACTTCTTGCTGGTGGACTAGCATCGGCAAAGTACAAGGTAATAGTCATTTCTTTCTATCTTTACACTTGAACTAAACTGAATGTTTCGTTAGGTGATAATAAAGCGATATAAATATATTTTTAATTCCCACCATTGCAACGTTGAGCACTTTATTATATTGTCAACAACTTCAAATTTTTATTATCAGATAAATGGCAAGGATATCTAATAGTGATAATGTGGTGAATGTTACAAATTTTGAGCAAAAAGTTAATCATCTACGTACGTAGAAATGATACAGAAAAAAATCAATTTGATAATAAGTATTTCATGATTAATTTTTCACTTGGAGTAAAAAGTAGATTTGGATTTATAGCAATTGGAATAAAAATTGAAAAATAAAACACAATCGGTATATGTATTCTCCATTTTCATAATATCTAATTGTAAGCCTTTGGTGCCCAGCACTTGACCCATACCAGTCAGGGACTTCCCTCCACTATAAACTTTCAACTTAATAAATAGTATCTAACCCCTGGTGCATATCACACAACTCCTAGTGCATGCCACATAACTCCTGGCGCATGCCACATAATCCTTGGTGTAAAACACTTCTTAATAGTCAATCTAGGAAGCTCTTCAAAGCACTCACATTTTAATTTTAGATCTTCTATATCATAATCTAACCTAAGTCCTTGATGCCTAGCATTTCATCCATACCAGTGAAGACTCCTTTCCCATACTATAACCATTTAACCTAGCAGATACTCCATAACTCCTGGTGCATACCAAATAGCCTTTGGTGCATATCTTATGACACTTGGTGCATGCTACATAACCCCTAGTGCACGTCACATAACCCCTGTCGCATGCCACATAATCCTTGGTGTAAAACACTTCTTAATAGTCAATCTAGACAAAGCACTCTCATTTAATTACAGATCTTCTATATCATAATCTAATCTAAGTCCTTGATGCCTAGCATTTCACCCATACTAGTCAAGACTACTTCTCCATATAACCATTTAACCTACCAGATACTCCATAATCCCTGGTGCATACTAAATAGCCTTTGGTGCATATCTTATGACACTTGGTGCATGCTACATAACCCCTAGTGCACGTCACATAACCCCTGTCGCATGCCACATAATCCTTGGTGTAAAACACTTCTTAATAGTCAATCTAGACAAAGCACTCTCATTTAATTACAGATCTTCTATATCATAATCTAATCTAAGTCCTTGATGCCTAGCATTTCACCCATACTAGTCAAGACTACTTCTCCATATAACCATTTAACCTACCAGATACTTCATAATCCCTGGTGCATACTAAATAGCTTTTGGTGCATATCTTATGACACTTTGTGCATGCTTTATAACCCCTAGTGCATGCCACATAACCACTGGTGTATAAAACTTATTACTAACCAATTAGGGAAGCTTTACAAAGTTTGTGATTTTGGGAAGTAAATATACTTTTGTAGACGAAATGTAGTTACATGTTATTCCACCAAAAACCGATAACATAATCCTATCGAGAATGCACAATGATACAATGTACATCTATATATGAACGTATATTTTATTGTTGCCGTACAAAAATCTATTTTTGAACACTTTTGGTATAAAGTATTATAGTAGATAGGTAACTAGTTAAATCGGCACCTACCAAACCAAGTGCACTATTATTCTTTAATCAGCATTATTGGATTTAAGGTACCTAAATGCATTAGCAAAACAACTCCTTGATAAAAATAATTGTGCCTGCTGGTTTGATAGTGGCTTTTAGTAAATTTGGTTGACGATTATCATTGAAATTATTCTAGTTGTTCAAGTTTAGATTTCATAATGTCTTTGTACAGTTTTATTCCGTTGTCGTTGACTTCCTTGAAATACGGTAATGCTTCCATTCTCTTGATCCACAAGGATATTCGAGGAAATTCGTCTGCTTGAATGGGAACGAAAAAAGAAACAGAAAATATACTTGTGACGATTTGAAAATCGGCAACTGTTAGCTGGTTTCCAGTTACATAATCGCCACTTCTTAAGAAAGTTTCCAAGAAGCTGTAGGCCTCTTTTATGCTGTCTACGTCTGATTTAGGAACTACCTTAGTCTTACCAGCAACCAGATTTTTCTGAAAATATTGTCTGATAATTAAAAAACTAAAACTATGAATCCTTTTATAACTTATTTGCCATTTATCTTATAAAATATTTTTTACTTACAATTAAGGTAGAAAATCGTTGAACTAATGTGCCGCTATCAAAGTAAAGCCTTTGATCAACAACGGCCTTCTTCTTAAGATCCTTAGGGTAAAGTGAATCATTTTTACCATACTTTTTCACTAAGTAGGAATTAATTGCATGACTTTCCCAGATTGCAAATCCATTTTCTTCTACCAATGTTGGTACAGTGTGTTGTGGATTCAACTAAAGTTTTACGTATTGTAAATTAGGAACGGATATAGAATCGGTAAATAATTTTTATCAAAATTGAAATATATACATATTTACTCACTTTCAGAAATTCTGGCTGGAGTTGCTCACCGTTAGCTAAATCTAATACTTTCAAATTTAGCTTCAGTCCCAATTCTTTAGCTGTTAATAAAACGCTTCGCGAAGGAGCAGAATGTTCAGAGTGGTAAAGCGTAGGGGCCATTTTTATTACCTAGTTTTGATAGTGATGTAACTTAGAACTTCGAATAACAATTGAGATTGGATTTGGAGTAACATTACACTTTAATTTTTATTATCGCATTCAGCTCAATATGCCTTATCTTGCGATGGGTTTTTATCTGTAACGTGTAGATATATATACAAAAGTAGTCAAAACGAAATTTTTAAGGTAGCAAATACATAATGTTGAGAAAAATGATAAAGGAATTTGTTAAAAGTTAATTGTAGATAGGTATATTAAATATGTCATTATTATCTATTTGAAACATGTAAAAGTAGGAAATTTTCAAATTATTTAACTTAAAGATTGAGAAAGTTATCGTAATAATTATCTTTTTATATCAGTTGTAAGTGTGAAATAAAAAATATCTACACTTTACATATCTATCACATAAAATTACAATGAAAATGAAATCATAAATATGTAAGATGACTATGCAAGTTTAGACTATAGTAAACTGCTCAAATAGTTTTACTCTATTGCTGTTAATTTCATTGAAATAAGGAATGGTTCATATTTTTTGCAAACTACGCCTTCAGACTTCGTGTTTCCAAAGGCCAAAGAAGTCACTATCCGCGTTTGAGATATGGTGTTGAAAATATCGTTCATAGGGAGGGTTGCAAATAACGAGAAGGTATTGGAAAGAATAAAACAGAGGAAATTATGGAAGATAATATGAAGTAGACGGTATGTGTTGGTGCTATTACTGGTGGCCGGGCAGTTCCTTCAAACATTTTCAGCCTCTTTTTAGGAATCGTCCGAATGGGTCGATGGTGGCTGGGGTGAGAAAAATGAGACAAGTGAAATAAAGACAGAAATGATTGAAATATTATCTATGGAATATTACTGTGACAGCGTTTGTCTATGTGATCCATGGAAACCTCAGAAAAACTTGGACCAAGGTAAACAAACCCGGAATCGAACCGGTGTTCTCCCAAATGCTAAGCGATGGTCATTCTGCTCGTCGTCGGTAGTGTCACATGCAAGATTATGTTTCTAGATGGTATATACTGGATCTTTCTAGAACTTGACTAACCCCTATAAATAGTTGTCGTGAGATCGAGTGGTTATCAACGAACACATGAAACACACGACTGAAGAGGACCTAAATTGATAGGATAACAGCCTGAGCTGGAGGGGTTTATGAACCACACTACTAAAGAGGACCTAAATTGATAGATCCTATAACAGCCTGAGCTGGAGGGGTTTTTATCGGTAGGTAGGTTCGAGGATACCTTCCTCGAGAATGGACACTATCCAGTCGTACAGACGGCTGAAGATTTCCCCTCTTCCACGATAACAAAAAAAAAAGAAAAAATCGAGTTTTTAGTAGTAGTACAAGTTCGAGACGATATAAAGCGAAAAAGGAAGAGTGAAGAAGTTACAAAGTGTTCACATTAGTCATCCTAAATACTGAAAAGTAACGATACTTGACATCATTGGTTCATATAACTGTTAAATAAAAGTAGTAAACGTGCCCAAAGCTGTTTAAATACGTGACATACCATAGGATACCATCTCAGACATGAAGGACTAGTTAGAAACATACTAGAAGCAGAGGTAGATCTAGATTGGGTTATTGTTGGCTCATGGTAGGAAGAAGTGAAAGTGCATCCAGTGTTTGGGCTGAAGACCAACCTTGTGAGAATGAGTTGCTAATTTTTGAAAGTTGATGTTTGTAGCAACTAAAATCAAGAAAACAAAACATCGATTACAGAGCCGGGCAAACTCGGCTCTTTTGATTCCCGAGTGCTCCTCAGGTATAGCTAAGGAGCTCCTCATTGATCCTGCGAGTGCGAGTGAGATGATTCATTCCTTTTCCTAACCCTTCCATTTCGTAGATGAGTCCCCTCTTCCATAGTCAAACCTAATAGTATTGAGAACGAAAATTTTCGTAGGTATTTTTTAAGTTGCAAGAGAGGCTTCGCTCGTCTACTGGATGAAGGGGCTTGATATGGGAGTGGAAGGGAGAAGAATAAAAGAGAAAGCAATATGGGTCATTACTGCTTACTCTCTCGTACTCATTGAAGGGTATGGAGTGACTCAAACTAACCTCAGGTAGCGGCTCCTATGAAGTTAAAGTTTGCTCGGGTCTGGATTATGATACACCAAAACCTAATATACATATACATATTTTCATTGATAGATTATTTACAACAATTAGTGTCAATGATTTACTCATATCAGAAAAACTACCATTGTGTTTACTACCAATTTACACTTCTCGTATTTGCACCTGCTACTCATTTAGTATGTAAGTATTTACGATAGGTAATATGATAATTAATAGTTACGAAGCATATTTGATATTATTGCGTAATTGTTTATAATTCGATAAAAAACAACTCACTTCAAGGCTATTAATCACCAGCAGCGTCACTTGAAAATAATCAATGTTCAGTTTACAAATTGACGACGTGCAGTTACATTTATCTGTCTAGGGTCTAGGATGCTATAACGGTTTTATTATTAGTAGGTGCCTACTACTTAACATTAATTATGTTGGCGTTGGTGGAAACTGTACAAAAAAAATGCCGTCATTAAAAAATTCCAGACAATTATACGTATTAATGCGTAAGCTCTGCAATCAATATACGTACATACTCTTTTTAGGATTGAGGTAGAAAAATAAGTGGTTTAGGTTCTATAAAAAAAAAAACGATGACTTGCAAATTAAGATTGTCGGTTTCTTTTCCAATAGGTATAGATTTCCTCTCTTTCAGCATGACGTCATGATTATTCGGATTTCCGGAAGTGGCAATGGACACTAAAATGCGAGATGGAATAATTTTTTAAGAAAGGGATGCAATCTTTTTTACATACAATATTTATCACAACAAAAAAGTAATTTTAGGTAGCTAATTAATTTCAGTTGTTCAACAGGTAATTAAGAAAAAATCGCTGTTAACAAATACTGCGGTGATATTTCTTATTCTTATGATATTGTAAATTTAGAAAATGTTAAATATAGGTACTTAAAAATGTAGGGGTGAGTTACAGAGATAGAAGAGTGATACTTAGTTGGTATAAAAAAAAAACTTAAAACTTTTGGGTGTTTCATTCCCACCAGACAGTAATGCTGGTGGGCGGGCAGTCCCTCCGGACTATGCCGGAAGGTAGTGCGGAAGGCCCTCTTCAGCCTGCTTTCAGGAATCGTGGGAATGGGTGGGTGGTGGTTCGGGTGAGAAAGTTGAGACGGACGAAATGAAGACAGAAGAAAATGAACGATTATCTGTGGAATATTACTGTCTGCCTAAGTTGTCCAAGAAAACTACAGGAAAACTTGGACCAAGGCAGACGGACCGGGAATCGAACCGGCGCCCTCCCGAATGCTAAGCAATAGTCTAAACCTCTAGGCCACGCCGCTCGGTACTGAACGTACAAAAAAAAGAAAAAACTTTTGGGTGTTTCATTCCCACTAGCCAGTAATGCTGGTGGGCGGGCAGTCCTTCCGGACTACGCCGGAAGGTAGGGCGGAAGGCCCTCTTCAGCATGCTTTCAGGAATCGTGGGAATGGGTGGGTGGTGGTTCGGATCAGAAAGTTGAGACGGACGAAATGAAGACAGAAGAGAATGAAAGATTATCTGTGGAATATTACTGCCTCAGCATTTGCCTAAGTGATCCAAGGAAACCACGGAAAAACTTGGATTAAGGCAGACCGACCCAGAATATATGGGTCAAATATTGTAGGTCAAAACTAATAACAAAAAAAATAGTCTGTAATTATTTTCTTTCAAAAATTCGGATGTTCAGTGCTCTCCATTACTTGTATTAATATTTTTCAAATCCGTATTTATTACTTAAAACCTTTGTTTGTAGTTGTAACGCTATAATTACCCACCTTGCAAAAATTCATTAAAATGCAAGGGCGAAGCCATTTTTACAACACAGCAATAAATGGACAAATTACGTACTTATTTACCCAGATGGCTATTGTTATCATTTACATAGTCCTCGTTAAGATAACACTAATTTGGTTTGTATTACAATATTAAAACTTATCTGATAAACATCTGTTGTCGGTGAACTGAAGCAACACCGTGCAGGTATTCATCGTCAGTTGTTACTCGAGCAACTCAATTGAAATTACAACTCATCACAGAAATATTGTTGTTAACAATTATAGAATGAACGTTTGCTTTATGTGTACATAAAGTGTACTATTGTTATATTAATAGAACTTCAAAAATAAAACCTGGATATGTAATAGACAAATTAAAAAAAAAAAGGCTGAAGCTGCATCAATTTCACTTCCAAATACTGACAGACTCGAGTTATAAACCGTTATTATATTGACTAACTCTTCGAATTGATACGGACAACAGTATTAATGAAACAAAATGTCGTATTTGGATCGAAGTCAATTTATTATTTAAACAAAAATATTTTACCACAAATTTTCTTAAGCAGGTTTTGGGTTTACGAGTGCTTGAAGTATCTGAAGTGCTTTTTCGTTGACTTCATCGAAATACGGTAACTCTTTCATTCTCTTAATCCAGGCAGTGATTTTTGGAAATTCATCTGGCGAAGGCGGGCAATACACGATCGAAACAACTTCCGTTGCTAGACTGAAGTCTGCAACAGTAAGTTCATTTCCGGCAATATATTTCCCCTTTTCCAGGAACTTTTCCAGGAAGCCATAAGCTTCTTTTATTTCGTCAATAGATTCCTGGGAAATCCCGGCTTCTGGATGAAACAAAAGACCTACCTAACATAAAATAATTGAAGTTACAGATACATGAGATGTCTAACACTAATTACAGTAGAACCTCTTTAAGTCGAATCTCGATAAGTCGAAAACCTCCAAAACTTGAAAAAATGTTTTGTTCTCTTCCCTTCAAGCCCCAAAACCTCCATTATTCGAAATCTCAACCCTCTATTAATCGAAATAATCAGTGAGTCCCTGCAAGCCATTTTGGTACCTTTACAAGCTGATAATTTGAAACTTTTTACGTCTATTGTTCGAAGAAAACTAAGTTATCGACTTTAATGATTTTCCAACATTGTAAGTACACCAAATATTAACCTCTACAAGTCGAATCAAAATCCGCCTAAGTCGAAAAATCTCTAACTCGAATTTTTTAGCGTCTTCCTTGATGCTCGAGTTATAGAGGTTCTACTGTATTATGTTATGTACATGTAAAATAAACTCACAAACGTTCTTGCAATTCGTGGAAATAATGTGCCACAGCTAAAATGAAGTCTTTGGTCTATAATTGCTCTTTTCTGTAAATCTTTTGGATAGAAAGAACTTTTTTCGTCGTACTTGCTGGCCAAATATGTATTAATTGCATGACTATCCCAAACTGTAAAACCATCTTCGTCGACCAAGGTTGGAACCGTATGTTGAGGATTTAACTGTAATGTAGTCATTTAATACTTCACCCAAAATTCTATTTTCGCATCATACACGACATATCAAAACTCCAAATACTATTTTCATAACAAAAACTATACCAAAACAGTTTATCAAAAATGAATTAATATGTTTACATGAGGACTTCTGAAATAAGTCAATGAAAAATACAAATATCAATTATTATAAACATGTACATTGAATAAACAAAATGTACTGTTATTTTTAATAAACTTTTATCAATTTGGAAATCTTTATCGGGTCTGCCGAATAATTTCATTTTAATTAATTCATATCACGATAATTTCAAGGGTTCTTCACATTATCATTTTGAACGGTATTTTCAGAAGAGTCAAAAGATTACAATAAGAATACCATCCGACTTCGAATCATGATTGCGTACTCGTCGTTCAAAGCAGTTGGGGTGAGCAAAGATTGATCAACGATCCATTCAGCCCTTAACATTACATTGGAGATGGGGAATCGGTACTTTGGGCACGGTATAAAGATTCTATACAGTAAGGAGAGGGATGCATGCGCGTGGTTAGAAGTGAACTTACTGTATGGAATCTTTATACTGTGGTATGGGCGTGGCTGGGAAGTGAATCTACTGTAGAGAATCTTTATACTGCGCTTTGAGCGTTTTCGATGACAATGTCAATAATACGTAATAGCTGAGTAGATATTTTAGTTTATTCACGAACTGCAGTGGCATAGTGACAAATAAAATTATTGTACCATCGGATTAATGAATTCCATTAGTGTTTTAGAGGACAATGCGTTTTCGCGTTTAAGATAAATATGATGCACTGAAAAATTAAACTGCCGATGCCTCACTTACGTTTAAACGGGCCGATAAACGACAAATGTAAATATTCAAAAGAGAGCGTTACTTACTTTTAGAAATTCCGGTTTATGTTGTTCCCTTTGCATTAAATCCACACGCTTAAACGTTACATTTTTTAATCCCAGTGCTTTTATAGTTAGAATGCTACTTCTTGCTGGTGGACTAGCATCGGCAAAGTACAAGGTAATAGTCATTTCTTTCTATCTTTACACTTGAACTAAACTGAATGTTTCGTTAGGTGATAATAAAGCGATATAAATATATTTTTAATTCCCACCATTGCAACGTTGAGCACTTTATTATATTGTCAACAACTTCAAATTTTTATTATCAGATAAATGGCAAGGATATCTAATAGTGATAATGTGGTGAATGTTACAAATTTTGAGCAAAAAGTTAATCATCTACGTACGTAGAAATGATACAGAAAAAAATCAATTTGATAATAAGTATTTCATGATTAATTTTTCACTTGGAGTAAAAAGTAGATTTGGATTTATAGCAATTGGAATAAAAATTGAAAAATAAAACACAATCGGTATATGTATTCTCCATTTTCATAATATCTAATTGTAAGCCTTTGGTGCCCAGCACTTGACCCATACCAGTCAGGGACTTCCCTCCACTATAAACTTTCAACTTAATAAATAGTATCTAACCCCTGGTGCATATCACACAACTCCTAGTGCATGCCACATAACTCCTGGCGCATGCCACATAATCCTTGGTGTAAAACACTTCTTAATAGTCAATCTAGGAAGCTCTTCAAAGCACTCACATTTTAATTTTAGATCTTCTATATCATAATCTAACCTAAGTCCTTGATGCCTAGCATTTCATCCATACCAGTGAAGACTCCTTTCCCATACTATAACCATTTAACCTAGCAGATACTCCATAACTCCTGGTGCATACCAAATAGCCTTTGGTGCATATCTTATGACACTTGGTGCATGCTACATAACCCCTAGTGCACGTCACATAACCCCTGTCGCATGCCACATAATCCTTGGTGTAAAACACTTCTTAATAGTCAATCTAGACAAAGCACTCTCATTTAATTACAGATCTTCTATATCATAATCTAATCTAAGTCCTTGATGCCTAGCATTTCACCCATACTAGTCAAGACTACTTCTCCATATAACCATTTAACCTAGCAGATACTCCATAATCCCTGGTGCATACTAAATAGCCTTTGGTGCATATCTTATGACACTTGGTGCATGCTACATAACCCCTAGTGCACGTCACATAACCCCTGTCGCATGCCACATAATCCTTGGTGTAAAACACTTCTTAATAGTCAATCTAGACAAAGCACTCTCATTTAATTACAGATCTTCTATATCATAATCTAATCTAAGTCCTTGATGCCTAGCATTTCACCCATACTAGTCAAGACTACTTCTCCATATAACCATTTAACCTAGCAGATACTCCATAATCCCTGGTGCATACTAAATAGCCTTTGGTGCATATCTTATGACACTTGGTGCATGCTACATAACCCCTAGTGCACGTCACATAACCCCTGTCGCATGCCACATAATCCTTGGTGTAAAACACTTCTTAATAGTCAATCTAGACAAAGCACTCTCATTTAATTACAGATCTTCTATATCATAATCTAATCTAAGTCCTTGATGCCTAGCATTTCACCCATACTAGTCAAGACTACTTCTCCATATAACCATTTAACCTAGCAGATACTCCATAATCCCTGGTGCATACTAAATAGCCTTTGGTGCATATCTTATGACACTTGGTGCATGCTACATAACCCCTAGTGCACGTCACATAACCCCTGTCGCATGCCACATAATCCTTGGTGTAAAACACTTCTTAATAGTCAATCTAGACAAAGCACTCTCATTTAATTACAGATCTTCTATATCATAATCTAATCTAAGTCCTTGATGCCTAGCATTTCACCCATACTAGTCAAGACTACTTCTCCATATAACCATTTAACCTAGCAGATACTCCATAATCCCTGGTGCATACTAAATAGCCTTTGGTGCATATCTTATGACACTTGGTGCATGCTACATAACCCCTAGTGCACGTCACATAACCCCTGTCGCATGCCACATAATCCTTGGTGTAAAACACTTCTTAATAGTCAATCTAGACAAAGCACTCTCATTTAATTACAGATCTTCTATATCATAATCTAATCTAAGTCCTTGATGCCTAGCATTTCACCCATACTAGTCAAGACTACTTCTCCATATAACCATTTAACCTAGCAGATACTCCATAATCCCTGGTGCATACTAAATAGCCTTTGGTGCATATCTTATGACACTTGGTGCATGCTACATAACCCCTAGTGCACGTCACATAACCCCTGTCGCATGCCACATAATCCTTGGTGTAAAACACTTCTTAATAGTCAATCTAGACAAAGCACTCTCATTTAATTACAGATCTTCTATATCATAATCTAATCTAAGTCCTTGATGCCTAGCATTTCACCCATACTAGTCAAGACTACTTCTCCATATAACCATTTAACCTAGCAGATACTCCATAATCCCTGGTGCATACTAAATAGCCTTTGGTGCATATCTTATGACACTTGGTGCATGCTACATAACCCCTAGTGCACGTCACATAACCCCTGTCGCATGCCACATAATCCTTGGTGTAAAACACTTCTTAATAGTCAATCTAGACAAAGCACTCTCATTTAATTACAGATCTTCTATATCATAATCTAATCTAAGTCCTTGATGCCTAGCATTTCACCCATACTAGTCAAGACTACTTCTCCATATAACCATTTAACCTAGCAGATACTCCATAATCCCTGGTGCATACTAAATAGCCTTTGGTGCATATCTTATGACACTTGGTGCATGCTACATAACCCCTAGTGCACGTCACATAACCCCTGTCGCATGCCACATAATCCTTGGTGTAAAACACTTCTTAATAGTCAATCTAGACAAAGCACTCTCATTTAATTACAGATCTTCTATATCATAATCTAATCTAAGTCCTTGATGCCTAGCATTTCACCCATACTAGTCAAGACTACTTCTCCATATAACCATTTAACCTAGCAGATACTCCATAATCCCTGGTGCATACTAAATAGCCTTTGGTGCATATCTTATGACACTTGGTGCATGCTACATAACCCCTAGTGCACGTCACATAACCCCTGTCGCATGCCACATAATCCTTGGTGTAAAACACTTCTTAATAGTCAATCTAGACAAAGCACTCTCATTTAATTACAGATCTTCTATATCATAATCTAATCTAAGTCCTTGATGCCTAGCATTTCACCCATACTAGTCAAGACTACTTCTCCATATAACCATTTAACCTAGCAGATACTCCATAATCCCTGGTGCATACTAAATAGCCTTTGGTGCATATCTTATGACACTTGGTGCATGCTACATAACCCCTAGTGCACGTCACATAACCCCTGTCGCATGCCACATAATCCTTGGTGTAAAACACTTCTTAATAGTCAATCTAGACAAAGCACTCTCATTTAATTACAGATCTTCTATATCATAATCTAATCTAAGTCCTTGATGCCTAGCATTTCACCCATACTAGTCAAGACTACTTCTCCATATAACCATTTAACCTAGCAGATACTCCATAATCCCTGGTGCATACTAAATAGCCTTTGGTGCATATCTTATGACACTTGGTGCATGCTACATAACCCCTAGTGCACGTCACATAACCCCTGTCGCATGCCACATAATCCTTGGTGTAAAACACTTCTTAATAGTCAATCTAGACAAAGCACTCTCATTTAATTACAGATCTTCTATATCATAATCTAATCTAAGTCCTTGATGCCTAGCATTTCACCCATACTAGTCAAGACTACTTCTCCATATAACCATTTAACCTAGCAGATACTCCATAATCCCTGGTGCATACTAAATAGCCTTTGGTGCATATCTTATGACACTTGGTGCATGCTACATAACCCCTAGTGCACGTCACATAACCCCTGTCGCATGCCACATAATCCTTGGTGTAAAACACTTCTTAATAGTCAATCTAGACAAAGCACTCTCATTTAATTACAGATCTTCTATATCATAATCTAATCTAAGTCCTTGATGCCTAGCATTTCACCCATACTAGTCAAGACTACTTCTCCATATAACCATTTAACCTAGCAGATACTCCATAATCCCTGGTGCATACTAAATAGCCTTTGGTGCATATCTTATGACACTTGGTGCATGCTACATAACCCCTAGTGCACGTCACATAACCCCTGTCGCATGCCACATAATCCTTGGTGTAAAACACTTCTTAATAGTCAATCTAGACAAAGCACTCTCATTTAATTACAGATCTTCTATATCATAATCTAATCTAAGTCCTTGATGCCTAGCATTTCACCCATACTAGTCAAGACTACTTCTCCATATAACCATTTAACCTAGCAGATACTCCATAATCCCTGGTGCATACTAAATAGCCTTTGGTGCATATCTTATGACACTTGGTGCATGCTACATAACCCCTAGTGCACGTCACATAACCCCTGTCGCATGCCACATAATCCTTGGTGTAAAACACTTCTTAATAGTCAATCTAGACAAAGCACTCTCATTTAATTACAGATCTTCTATATCATAATCTAATCTAAGTCCTTGATGCCTAGCATTTCACCCATACTAGTCAAGACTACTTCTCCATATAACCATTTAACCTAGCAGATACTCCATAATCCCTGGTGCATACTAAATAGCCTTTGGTGCATATCTTATGACACTTGGTGCATGCTACATAACCCCTAGTGCACGTCACATAACCCCTGTCGCATGCCACATAATCCTTGGTGTAAAACACTTCTTAATAGTCAATCTAGACAAAGCACTCTCATTTAATTACAGATCTTCTATATCATAATCTAATCTAAGTCCTTGATGCCTAGCATTTCACCCATACTAGTCAAGACTACTTCTCCATATAACCATTTAACCTAGCAGATACTCCATAATCCCTGGTGCATACTAAATAGCCTTTGGTGCATATCTTATGACACTTGGTGCATGCTACATAACCCCTAGTGCACGTCACATAACCCCTGTCGCATGCCACATAATCCTTGGTGTAAAACACTTCTTAATAGTCAATCTAGACAAAGCACTCTCATTTAATTACAGATCTTCTATATCATAATCTAATCTAAGTCCTTGATGCCTAGCATTTCACCCATACTAGTCAAGACTACTTCTCCATATAACCATTTAACCTAGCAGATACTCCATAATCCCTGGTGCATACTAAATAGCCTTTGGTGCATATCTTATGACACTTGGTGCATGCTACATAACCCCTAGTGCACGTCACATAACCCCTGTCGCATGCCACATAATCCTTGGTGTAAAACACTTCTTAATAGTCAATCTAGACAAAGCACTCTCATTTAATTACAGATCTTCTATATCATAATCTAATCTAAGTCCTTGATGCCTAGCATTTCACCCATACTAGTCAAGACTACTTCTCCATATAACCATTTAACCTAGCAGATACTCCATAATCCCTGGTGCATACTAAATAGCCTTTGGTGCATATCTTATGACACTTGGTGCATGCTACATAACCCCTAGTGCACGTCACATAACCCCTGTCGCATGCCACATAATCCTTGGTGTAAAACACTTCTTAATAGTCAATCTAGACAAAGCACTCTCATTTAATTACAGATCTTCTATATCATAATCTAATCTAAGTCCTTGATGCCTAGCATTTCACCCATACTAGTCAAGACTACTTCTCCATATAACCATTTAACCTAGCAGATACTCCATAATCCCTGGTGCATACTAAATAGCCTTTGGTGCATATCTTATGACACTTGGTGCATGCTACATAACCCCTAGTGCACGTCACATAACCCCTGTCGCATGCCACATAATCCTTGGTGTAAAACACTTCTTAATAGTCAATCTAGACAAAGCACTCTCATTTAATTACAGATCTTCTATATCATAATCTAATCTAAGTCCTTGATGCCTAGCATTTCACCCATACTAGTCAAGACTACTTCTCCATATAACCATTTAACCTAGCAGATACTCCATAATCCCTGGTGCATACTAAATAGCCTTTGGTGCATATCTTATGACACTTGGTGCATGCTACATAACCCCTAGTGCACGTCACATAACCCCTGTCGCATGCCACATAATCCTTGGTGTAAAACACTTCTTAATAGTCAATCTAGACAAAGCACTCTCATTTAATTACAGATCTTCTATATCATAATCTAATCTAAGTCCTTGNCTAAGTGATCCAAGGAAACCACAGAAAAACTTGGACCAAGGCAGACGGACCCGGAATCGAACCGGCGTCCTCCCGAATGCTAAGCAATGGTCTAGACCTCTAGGCCATGCCGCTCGGTAGTTGGTATAAAGAGCAACAGGCAGTTATATAGCTGGGACGGCAACGTAGAGAAGTAAATATTAGGAAGGAAGTCAGACAGGGATGCACACTGCCACCGCTACTTTTTAATCTATACATTGAAGACGCGATCAACATCATTAAAGACAGCACAACTGTAGGGATAGATATACAGGGGCAATCGGATGATATAGCAGTATTAACATCTAGCAAGGAGGAGTTAGAGATATTTTTAAATAAAATGGATGCGCTACTGACAAAACAGTACTGTATGAAAATAAATAAAAGTAAAACAAAAATACTGGTATGCAAGAAATAAAAAGTAGGGAAAAAGCGAATATAAACATAGGAGACGAAAAATTAGAAGAAGTGGCTGATTTTAGGTATCTAGGATGTCAAATAAATCAGCACGGAAGAAGTAGTAGGGATGTAAAACAGAGGATAACGGAGGGTCGCGTTCAATAAAAGGAAGTCACTTCTATGCGCGCGAACGATTGATTTAAAAATTCGAAAATAATTGTTAAAGGTGTATGTTTGGAGCGCGCCCCTGTACGGGAGCGAAACATGGACGATGGGCGCGGCGTAAAAGGTTAGAACTGTTTGAAATGTGGTGTTACAGGCGAATAATGAGGATACCGTGGATAGAGAAGGTTAGAAATAAAAAGATATTAGAAAGAATAGGAGAACAGAGGACTCTATGGAAGCCAATAATAAGAAACTGGCGAGATATGTAGGTTGGTAGTAAACCTTCTCAGGCCTGAAGGACTAGTTAAGGACATATTAAAAAACACAGGAATTAAGAGGAGTAGAGTTACACTTAGATTACATTACTGTTCATAAACAGTTAAGGATGTAGAATGTTCTAGTTTTAAGGAAATAAAAAGACTAGCTCAGGAATGGAAAGTGTGGAGGTGCGTGTCCAACCAGTCTTAGGACTGACGACCTTATGATGATGATGATGATGATGATATTGACATTGGTACGCACATTTAAAAACAACATTAGATAAAAAGATATATTTTTGAATTTCACATTGTTTGTGTAAGCAGGTATTATTTATATTTTATAAACCGCTTTTTATTATCAGTTTCATCACTAATATTATAAAAACAAAACTGTACAATACTGAAGTGCCCACTTAAATTATAATAATAGATACACATGCATCTACGCACGTTTTGAGTTAATTAATTCTGTATATATTTGTAATCCCTTTTCGTTTACGTCCTTATAATAAGGAAGAGCCTTGATCCTTTTCAACCAGTTCGTAATTCTTGGAAACTCGGAAGGAGATACAGGTACTATAATATCTGCAGTGGTGAGAGTCGCAGCAATGTGGAAATCTGCAATCGTGAGATGATCACCAGCAAAGTAATCGTTACCGTCCAAGAAAGCTTCCAAAAATCCATAAGCTTCTTTCAAGGAATCAGCGTGTTCTTTCGACACTTCCTTGGCATTGGCGAAGAAGAATGCTTTCTAAAAAAAAGATATTGGAAGATAAAGAAAAAATTTTTCGTGATATTTGATAAAATTGGGCTAGTATTACTTGACCAGGAAAGGCTGAACGGTAGAAAATTGAGCAAGATGCGCAAATGAGAGACTGCAACGCCAATCGGCAAGAAAAGGATGACGAGAACGCTCGAGTTTGAATACTCGAATTTAAACAGGTTACGTACAAACTAGCCCCGTTTACGATATAACTACAGCGAATTCCCTGCTTCATTTACTTTTACAATTAGCAAAATTATAAATGTGTGCCATTAATAAATATGTACCATTAACATCTACCAAGGAGGAGTTAGAGATAGCTTTAAATAAAATGGAAGCAGTATTGACGAAACAGTACTGTATGAAAATAAATACAAGTAAAACAAAAATACTGATATGCAAGGGAAGAAAAAGTAGGGAAAGAGCGAATATAATGATAGGAAACGAAAAATTAGAAGAACTGGCCAACTTCAGGTATCTAGGAAGTCAGATAGGTCAGGACGGAAAAAGCAATAGGGATATAAAGCAGAGGATAGCGCAGGGTCGTGCCGCCTTTAATAAAAAGAAGTCACTTCTATGCTCGCCAAGGGTTAATTAAAAATTCGAGAAAGGTTGTTGAAGGTGTATGTTTGGAGCACGGCGTTGTACGGGTGTGAAACGTGGACAGTGAGCGCGGCGGAAAAGAAAATGTTAGAAGCGTTCGAAATGTGGTGTTACAGGCGAATGACTAGGATACCGTGGGTAGAGAAGGAGGTATTAAGAGGTATTGGAAATAATAGGAGAACAAAGGACTGTCTGCAAGTCAATAAAAAATAGGCGATATGGGTTGGTAGGACACCTTCTCAGGCATGAAGGTCTAGTCAGAGACATATTAGAGGAAGAAACTGAAGTTAGGAGGGGTAGAGGTAGACCTAGATTAGATCACTGGTCGCAAATATGGGTTGTTCTAGTCTTAGGGAAATGCGAAGATTAGCCCAGGATATAAAAGAGTGCAAGTGCGTGTCCAACCAGTCCAAGGACTAACGACCTTATGATGATGATTAGTGCGATATATACTTTAGCAAAAATATTAATAAGACTTTATTTACTTTCAATTCGTCAGAATAACACTAAAACTATAACTTAGACTAATTAATGTACATGAACATAATGTAACCCACAAAAGCTGGAAACAGACCAACGCTTACCTTCGACCAGTGTACATCGAAGGGTGTAGTATGCCACCGTTAATCCTATTTTGATCTAGTAATACCTAAAAGTACTTTTCATAAAATACTTACAGATGGAAAGCTAAGTCTGACACTAAGAACACTGTTGTTGAAATGGAGTCTTTGATCTACCACCGCCCTTTTCTTCAGATCTTTTGGATACAGCGAATCATTTTTGGCATACTTTCCTACCAAGTAAGGGGTGATGGCATGGCTGTCCCATAAAACAAATCCATCTTCATCCACTAATGTTGGTACTGTATGCTGTGGATTGATCTGAAAGACAAAATTCCAATTACTAACTCAGAATTTAATAACATAGATAATTTTACTTGTAATTTTGTAATAATTTTTACTCTAATTTTTTAATTTCATGTTCTGCAGCTAACATTAAGGTAGAATCATATAAAATTTTGCCTGAATTTTACTAATTGTTACTGGGTTTTTTTATAAATTGACCCACGAAATCTTTCTGTGGGCGTTAATTAAATATTCTGATATTATTAGTTGAAGGTCATTTTTGTTACATGTTTCTATGTCCTATACCGTCGATAAATTAACGGAAAAGAAACAATTTTGGTTTTTGTGAAATAATTGTATATACATGTGAGTATTTATTTTTTAGTAAAAGTAATAATTGCATTAATTGCGGAATTAAATATTTGCCATTTATTAAATGCATTATTATCATAAGTAAACTTTAAAAATACATTCAGCTATTATACAATAACTATTTTAGTCTTACTTACTTTTAAAAATTCTGGTTTCTTGTGTTCTCCAGCAAATAAATTCACAAATTTTGAATTGAGTTCAATGCCAAGGGCCTTTGCTGTAAAAAATACACTTCTTGCCGGAGCACCGCCTTCCATGTAGTACAAAGTAGGAGCCATTATTGATTATTTTAGTGGAAATCGTTCTCGTATTAAAATATCAAAAATAAACTTCGGTCACCTACTGCGATACGCACTCACCGATACTTCCCTCACTTTTGCTACGGTAGCCTTCTGATTCAAACTTTTATTTGTCTTTTTATGTAAGTAGTAACAGCAATTCCCCACCATTATAAACTATATATGAATCAAAGAGATCGTTAGCGATAAATGAACTGAAAAACGAAACTCATGCATATTATTCGTTCAGTTATTACACCACAGTTGGAAATACCATCAAGAAATTCCGTTCTTTCACGAAACAGATGCTTGATTCATGCAGTAATTTTTTTTGAATAAGAATTACTCAATTAAATATTTCTGTTTTCATTTGTTTTCGTCGCATGTTTGCATATTTATACAGCATAATTGTCAAGTCATTGTAAAATTGAGATCATTGTAAATTAGTCTTTGTGGTGCTGCCCTAGTCTTCGTATTGCAGATATACAACAGATAGTTTGTCTGTCTGTAGGTACCTACAATAGAAAAAGCAAGAACAAACCATGACTAAGAGAAAAATTGCATACGCATAGTTTGAGATAGTTTCAGTCATATTATTTCAAATAAAATACGTTATAAATAAAAATTAGTGCTTGCTGATTTGTTCCTTGATTTGTAAGTTTTTGAAGCGTACCTAAAGGATTGGTCAATATTTTCGACTAGCACACCAGTCTCGAGTTTGAACAATTGTTTTGATCAAACCTAGAAGTCTTTTTCGTGGTCTGTTGGAATTATTTCATATTTCAGTGCGGTCCATTCGTTGGAATTACTTCCTACTTCAGGAATACGCCTCGTACGCCCGAAAATTGCCATTTGGTTCATATTTGTTGCTACTGAAGTATTTTGTGTATTAGACAAGGTCAGAAATTTATCAAAACTACTTGATTTCCAGGATCGCGATTTCAATCTTTTTGAATCTCATCAGTCTTCGTCTTGTATATGAACTACTTCAGTAGCAGAAAATACCCACTAGATGGCGATACACTGTATCTATTGGGATATTAAAAATATTTATTATGATCAAACTTTGCCTTTGTTGTTTTAACAGTAGAAATTCCGGTATCTTGATTAACAGGTAAAAAGTAGTTTCCAAAAAAACGAACAGGGATGTGTTATAACCGTTTGAGATTGTGGTACTACGATCATTAAGAGATAATGTTCCAGGTAATTACAAAAACTGCGTCAAACTCCACTCAAGGTTTTCTAGTTTTATTACGGTAGATACCATCCAAATTCACGGTGACATCGTTGCCCCTTAACAATTTTTCGATGGACATAATATGTAAATGTAAATATACAAGATGTGTAGGTATACAATAACTAAGTAAGTGAGTGTTTGTGACAATTTGAGATTAAGATTGAAAACTATAACGTTAATTAGTTTAGTGTCCAATTAAAATGTCATTAAACTCGACGACACAATTTCAAAAATTCAGTCGTTAGTGTTTATTTCGTAATTTTGTTATGGGCCTGACATATTCGTTAAAAAATAATTAGAGGAATTCCTTCGTCATTTGGATTACAAATTGAAATCAAGAAAGTTACAAATTAAAAGTTATGTTAGATACTTACAATACAAAGCACAATCTTTATGCAAAAAAAGTATTATAAGACAATTACGAGAATTTAAATTAGTAAATACAAGGGCGATCCAAAAAATTCAGGAAGGTAAAAGACTTGTTGGGTGCTTCATTCCCACTAGCCAGTAATGCTGGTGGGGGGGCAGTCCCTCCGAACTACGCCGGGAGGTAGGGCAGAAGACCCTCTTTAGCATCCTTTCAGAAATTGTGGGAATGGGTGGGTGGTGGTTAGAGTGAAATGATTTGCCTAAGTGATCCAAGGAAAACTCAGAGAAAAACCGACGTCCTCCCGAATGCTAAGCAATGGTCTAAACCTCTAGGCCATGCCGCTCGGTAGGAAGGTTTAAGAGATAAGCAACCATCCCCACATTTTGTGTTGTTTTAAGATACGTGACGGGCTCTTTATTATATGTCACAATATTTACTTAATTATTATCTAAACCTGCTTCCACGTAGAAACACTTTCGAGTCAAACTGATTCAAGTAAACAAAATTATTTTTAATAGAAACAGGGCGTTCAGGAGTATTTATAAATTTTTATTCACAATCTATTCCAAGGCAGGGTTAGGCATACTTAAATTTTTGATTTTGCAAATGTATCAATATAGGAATATTCGTCATCAGGGAGTACTTTATGTAATGATTGTAATAAGATTCGAATAAATAACTAAATAATGGAAATTATTTAAATTAAAATAGGTTAAATGTATTGTCTTTTGCTAACGCTTTTATTATTGTAAGAAGTACCAGTTAAAATATTTTGAAATCTTTCGTTTATAATTTTTATAAAAAGGTGTATTTTAAGCAGATATGATTTCTGTTTAGGAATTGGCGTTAGCTAATATTCCGAGGATCTTTGATATCCTTATTTCCATAGACCTCTCAACCTAACCTAACCTCTTCGAAATGTTAGGTGAGAATAGGATAGGTTAGGTTAGGTTGCATATACGGCTGTATTTAATTTTAAATTTGATGTATATTTTAAAAGACTTATAAGCATTTGTGGTTGTCTTGTTGATAACATGATAAATTGTACATAATAAAAGATACAAAAACGTTTAGGAAAATTAGGCAAGTTTGGATTTAACAATGTCAGCAAATTGTTTCCTTCCGTCTTCAACAACCTCATTAAAGTAAGGAAGAGATTCCATTTTTTTCATCCATGCATTTATTCGTGGATATTCCTTTGGACAGATTGGTACAAACGCTTCCATGTTAGTAAGAACCGCGACTATGTTAAAGTCAGCGATGGTAAGTTGATTGCCTGCAGTATATTCGCTTTCTGCTAATAAAATTTCCAGAAAGCCATAAGCCTCCTTTGTGCTCTCTCTTTGGGCTTTGGTCACTTCTTTGACATTATCGTTCAGGACGGGGTACTTAAAAATGAAATTATCTTATTTATACTGTTGCTATAAATTTTCGACTTCTCTATTAATTTTTTTTAACGACTCCTAAAAAGTGTTACAAATATTATGAGATGGAACAATTGTATTATGAAGATCATGGTTGGATTTTATATTTTTTTGAAGCAATTTGTGGTTTTTGTTAATGTTAATAGTAGAATGTACAATTTTTCCAGCAGTACTTAGAACCTGTTAAGCATAATTGAATAGAAAGCAAAATATTCTGGCGCCGGGACACGCGTTTCTGTTTTGACATTAATTTTGGCCTAAAAGGGGATAACAGTTGGACTGTTGAAATCTGGAGATCAGTGGCAATCCATCTGTTATATAGGACGTAGATAACAACGTAAGAAAATTTGTCTAGACGTCCTCGTCCTCGTCCTTGTGGTTGTTTAACTTACTACACTCTTACAATTATATAAAGGCAGAGGCAAATTATTGAAAATTTCGAACAAGAATATGAATATGTACTCTGTATTGCTACCAGGACATCCTTGTTCTTTCAGAGGAACGATATACATTAACTGGTACGAGACACTCTGACAGGATCAATTCCTCTGCAAAAGTACTTCCAGAAGCGTTTCCAATAAGACAGCTGTTTGTACATTCTATCGTTAAATGTTAGATGGCTCTTATGGGTTAATGGGTTAATAGGTAAGTTAGATATGGAGTAAATTACACTTACGCAAATATTCAAAAATCTGGGAAGTAATGTGCCATTATTAAAATGAAGCCTTTGATCTACAATTGCCCTTTTTCTGAGGTCTTTTGGGTATAAGGAGTCGTCTTTGCCAAATTTACCAACCAGATATGCATTTATAGCGTGGCTATCCCATAAAACAAATCCGTCTTCTTCAACCAATGTTGGAAGGGTATGTTGTGGATTAATCTAATGATACATCGATGACATAGGATAACATGCATAACTTTAGAACTATTATTGAAATAAAATTAGAAAATGTTCGTTCTTGTTCAATTTGCTAAGTATTAGTCCATTTCCAATGCATTAAAAATAAAATAACTAACGAATCGAACATTACTTACATTTTTTATTAGGGATTCTTCTGTTTTTCTGGCGGCTACGAAAACGCGTTCCAATTGTATAATAAGTCATAAGTCTCTTAAGAACGTCATAACTACTTCGATATTTTAATAATTCAAACAAAAACCAACGATAAATAGAAAATATCTTTACCTACCTTTATAAAATCGGGTTTCAGCTGTGCTTTCTCAAATACGTTTACGGGCTTGAGATCGAAGTCAATCTTAAGAGCCTTTCCCGCGAGAAGTACGCTCCTGGAGGGACAGCTAGCGTTCGCATAGTAAAGTGTTGGTGCCATTGCTGTTGGTTACAATAGTACAATGGACTTAATGTGTTACTAACTGCAATGACAAAAAGCAGTTGTTATTTATTATATTATTGAATAATATCAAACTTCCTCTAGTCGTCGACCCACACCGACCCTTGCACTTGAAATAATAGGAGGTTATCAAAAAGGCTTTGGTTACAGTGATGTTACTCGTTAAGGTTCCATGAGGTAACTTGCTGCTGTGGAATTCAATTTTATTCAGCGAACTAATAATGAAAAATGAAAATTACTTACTATAACTCGATTTCTAAAGGTGGCTTCCCACTACTAGTATTAGCGGAGGCCTGAATTCGCGCCGCGGGCAGAAACAGGTAACGCGGATTGGGCTTGGCCGCGCGTGAGCGCTTCCCAGGGCCTGTATCAACTTGTCTTCATGTGTTTGAAGAGGTTTCAGGAGTATTAAAATGTCGCGTGAAAGAAAAAGAATGGCAATTACTGCCGCAGCTTTTGTTTTGTTTAGTTTGTCATATTATTTACTCAAAAAGAGGCAGAAGAACAAAAGGCGATGGCGGATTATTAAATAATAGCCGATTAGGGTAAAGTTTTTGATACTAAATTTTGAGAAAAGTACATGCAATAGAAATTTCTGTGCACGCCATCATGCGTTACTGTCGATATTTATTCCTTCCGGTGATTTCACGAAAGTTGATGAGGAAGAAGAAATTATATTATATTTTTTTAGTTCGGAAGTAACATCCTGTTAACACATGTATGTATTTTTGTGAAATATAGATAACAACAGATGCCTACAGGTTATATCAAGCCTCGCCTTTGAACTTACCGACTCGCGAAGGGTCATCACGTATTCTCTCGCGCCTTTTCGGACAGCACCCTTCCCATGACGTGCTGGCGCGGTCCGGCGTGCAATATCTTGAGCCGTGGGAAACCACCTTAACGTTTTTGTTGCAATAGTACCATTATGCAGTGCTGGATCAAGCAATAATGTAGAGCACTGCATAGTAATTTTAATGATTTTTTATTTATTGTAAAGACTGAATGGACAAGGATGGTGCCGTTTAAATTTGAAAAAAATATTCTACCTCTGAGGATCGAAAATTAGGGGATAATTCCTGTTCTTAATTGGAAGTCGCTTTTATACGTAAGTGCAATGTTTAAATTATAGCAATAAGCAGGACAAATTGACATAAATGAAGAAAATAACAGACAAAAAAGATGTTAAAATGCTTGGTATGCCAATTATCATAGATATATGTCATTCAAGCCAATTAAGTGTTTCATAGTAACAACTCCATAGTCCACACTGCCTCTTGTACTTACTGAACATGTTCTGACCTTGTTTGAAGCCTCCCCCTAGGGATCAAAGGCTCGAGGCGGCTCGTCCCCTACCCTCTATAGTCCGTCTTGACGACGGTAGGTGTATGTGTAGGAATATGTGGCGACCAAAATGTTCGGATTGATTCCTATGCGTTTAATAAACTTCAGAATGGTTCCCTAGAGATCGACCATTTTAAATGGGTGACATGGTCCACTTTTGCTCAAGTAATATTGTAAATTCTTAGAGGTAACTAGGGCTTTAGGAGATGTGGGGGTTGAATGTTTAAGTACCTAGTGAAGCAGGTACTCATAAGCAAAATTATTTACCTCTAGTTTTTAGAAAATAGTTTTAGGCACACTTTTACGTATATTCATATGTACTTATAAAAGTGCCCTTAGATCCAGCCGTCACTGGTAAACGATAGTAAACTTTCTTTGCTTATTGTATCATTTATTGAACGCGTAAATAGTTTTAATTACTCCCATTATCAGTTGGTAATTAACAATTGAAACAAAGGGTACTGTTGTTAACGTTGAATAATGAAAGCGGTAATTTTTGTAATTAACTTGGCGACTTTATCAGTTTCTTTAATAAAAATTAATAAACCCTTCTTTACGGAATTAGTAAGGACTAATTTTGTTCTTTCTGTGTTCTTTTAGAATTCTTACTAAATTAGCTTTTTTTATAAGAATTATTTTCCTTTACAAACAGTAAACAGATCTTCTAATTATAAAATTTGCGTGACATTTGGTGAAAAATTGTGATGTAACAAGATTAACTTGGTCCAGTTTATCAAAAACGTTAAAAACTTTAAAATTATCCCATGTCAAGTCTCATAAATCTTTCAACAATTGATCTATGGAAAGTGTCATGTGCCTGATGCAATTTTTCAGAAAAATAATTTGTACAACGTACAAAATGAAAAAAACATAAAAAAGATTGAATGCATAGTATTTTTATTAGATAAATGTTAATACAATCTTAAGTATGTTTTGCTATAACAATTTCTGCGTACTGCTTTCTTCCTTTCCCATCAACTTCGTTAAAATATGGAATAGATTGAATCCTTTGAATTTTTCGGAATTCAGGAGTGAATACAGGTACTACGGCTTCTGTATTTGTAAGAAGGGTGGCAATATTGAAATCGGCAATAGTTAGCTGATTGCCGGCAACGTAGTTACTTACCGGTTAAGAACGTCTCCAAAAATCCGTAAGCTTCCTTCATTGTATCAGCTAGCTCCTTTGGTATTTCTTTTAGTTTTCCAGATATTACAGGAGCCTTTAAAATACAAGGATAAATATTGGAGATAAAGAAGATCTTCAAAAAACACCTCCTGAAGGGATTTTTACCGACTAAAACACCTCCTCGAGTGGGTAGATGAACCCGATGGTTGTACATCCCCGAGAAAGAAAATGGAGAAATGGAAAGGTTGAAAGTGGAAAGAGTATTGAATTTGGAAAAGGCTTGAGTGTGGGGGAGAGACGGGAGTATTTGGGGGGGGGGGTGGAACTGTCGAAATAGGTAGTCCATTTCTGAAGTGATGAGTGTACGCTTGTGCTAAAAAGCAAAGCTAGAGATGAGCCAAATGGAGCGGCTCATTATAGAAGGTGATAGAAACGGTCGTTTGGTTGCGGGGCGAAGTTGGAGAGTGTCGAGATGATGGGGTTTTGGGGTTTACGTGGTCTGACACTGAGGCTCGGAGATTTGCCGCGTATGAGATTGTAACCTCAGGGAGAGAAAGTAAACCGGTTTCTTCCAGAATTTTGGGTGTTTCTGACGAACCAGGGGTAGTTTAGTGCGAAACGAAAGATCCGCATGTGGGTGCCTTGCAGAAGCTTCAGGCGGTAGGGAAGGGGCGCAGCCCCAGACGGGAATGGCGCAGGAGATGATTGCGTTAAACACACGGAGTTGTTTTGGAAGAAAGGCTTGAGTGCGATGAATGCACCCATGAGCTTGTTAGGAGTGGCTGAGATGTGGCGCCGCCAGGTTAGGGTTCTGTCGAAACGACGCCTAGATATGTGACGAAGTTGCTTCACTTGGTGGGGCGGTTGCTTACGATGATGGAGCGAGACTTTCGGATTCTACGTGAGAAGAAAATTGCTTCCGATTTAGTTTAGTTAATTGAAAGTTTCCATTTCCAATACCAGTTTAGAGGTACTAGACCATTTGGTTATAATTTGGAATAATACATCAACGGAAGAATAAGTAGGTAAAACCAGTGTGGAAAGTTGCCCTTTTTCTAATAAGGATATCGGCTGGTCAAACTGGCCGAATAGATGTTTATGAAAAGTTAAAAATTTATTAGTCGAAAGTAGCATTTCTACGAACAGTTACTTACACCGATATTCAAAAACCTAGCAAGTAGAGTTCCATTACAGAAATGTAACCTTTGCTTTACCAAGGTCCTTTTTTTCAAATCTTTTGGGTAAAGAGAATCATCCTCACCATACTTTTCAACTAAATAAAGGTTTATAGCGTTACTGTCCTAAACAACAAACCCATTATCATCTACCAATGCTGGTATAGCATGTTGCGGATTTATCTGAAAACGGATTGAAAATTGTATTTCGTTATTCAAATCGTGGAAATGGAAATCATTTACAGCAAAATTAAGAACAAGTTTTTTTGTTTTATTTCAACTCCTCTTTAACATTTCAGCGAGAACAATGTTAAGTATTTTCAGTACTAGGCACTATGACCTTTTTTTTAAGGTTTACTCACCCCTATAGCTTCACCCAACCCTAGGAGCTAAACTATAAGGAGTGGGGAAAAACGCCTCTATACATTTTTTATTTGAAGCAGTTTTTAAGTTCTTTCCTAAGCAAGTAAGATAAATATCCCTTTTTTGGGTTTTAATTTAATTTTTTCTGCCTGATGGTTCGGCTTAAATTTGAAATAATGTCTTCAGGATTATTTTGGATGTTCATTCAAACATGAAGCAAGTATACCGTTACCAGTCAATTTGGTATTTTAATTTGCATTATACTGACCTTTACAAATTCAGATCGTAAATGTTCACCTGCAAGTAAGTTTAAAGTTTTTAAATTGAAGGTGATTCCAGGATCTCTTCCTGTAAGAAGCACACTTCGGGATGGAGCACTCGCTTCTGCATAATACAATGTTGGAGCCATTATACCAAGCTACACGGAATAAATGAAATAAGTAACCTTTACAATTAGATTATGATTATTATTATGAAACTGATGAAAATTGATAGATACTTGCTACGTTTAATATTTTTTTGGACCATATAGTAGACCTTCAGTTATAGACAGATGATTCAAACTGATTCCCCACTTTTAAATTCTATAAACAAGTTTTATCAAGGGCAAGCCATAAGCAATTTAGTGAAGAGGAGACAACAAGTGTGTATGTTTTACAAGTTTTAATGAAACATAATGTACAATACCTACCGCTAAAAAGTTTGCGGGTATGATTTGATATAAATTATTGTATTTAATTATTGTCTCTTTGTTGTATGGAAAAATTTTAAAATAGAAATTTTCGTACAGTGTATACATATATATTTATTTTTTATATAGTATCTATCCATTGTAAAAAAGCAAACATTTAATTAACTTTTTTCTCATTATGTCACAATAATTTTAGATTAGAAAGGCAGATCAAAAAAAATAATCAAAAGAAGATAACTTTATAATTGTCAATAGTGACTTATCGTTTTATAAAATGTGTAATATCATGAAAAACAAACAGGTGTTTTATATAAATATCATTTCGGGAAATAAGGTAGGTAAGTGTTTATGTGTCTTGTGATGTGTAAACTCTAAATAGCTTTCCTATGAATTGACAGAAATAAAGACATATTAGATGTAAAATCATGATTTAAAAGATCCAGGGGTAGATTGGATTGTGTTATGATAATTGTTTCTAGGTATTAAGCTTGATTTCACTCTTTTGCAAAAGAAGATGAGGAGATGGAAAAGAAAATGAATACAAGAAAAGTGGGAAAATAAAATCTTTTCCACATTTTCTTTTAATTTCCATTATTGTCACTAAAATCTTTTTATTTTAAATTGTATAAATACTCGTTAATTTGTACTAAAGCCGTCAGGCACTGTCACGTTAAACTATCAATGCCTTTTAAACGAAATGATACTTTGGCGGACACCTGACGGACGGCTGCTGACCGTCAACTTATTGATAGTGAGAATCAAGCTTTAAGCTGCAGTATTTAAATTGCTCTCGTCTTTAAGCATTCTTCAATTATTTAGTGTTTTAGATTTTCACTATACATGTTTAGAACTAAAAATTCAGGTTGATTTAAACAATCGTGATATAATAAGTATATTCATTGAAAAGTTAAATTATACAACACCAGTATGTTCAACAATATTTTAACACCAAAATCAATTGTGACGCTCTTAAGTAAGTTTGGATTTAATAGCTTCTGCAAATTGCTTTCTTCCGTTTTCATTAATCTCGTTAAAGTATGGAAGTGACTGAATCCTTTGGAACCATGCGCTTATTTTCGGGAAGTCGGGGGTAAACACAGGCACAGAAGCTTCTGCATTAGTAAGAAGGCTAGCAATATTCAAGTCAGCAATAGTTAACTGGTTACCAGCAACGAAATCCCTTTCGGTCAGGAACGTTTCCAAAAAGCCATAAGCCTCTTTTAAACTGTCAGCTGGCTCCTTTGGTATTTCTTTTATGTTTCCAAACAATATGGGACCCTTTAAAATGCAATTAATCAATATCTCTATCAAGTAAAAAACGTAGTTATTCCTATGAAAATTTGATTATCAATCAGTGAAAGGTAAATAATTAACTATAAACACAAGAATAAAAGAACACATTAATTTACAGTATTAGTAAAAGAGAAAAAAATCCGACTTCTTGGATCATTGTAACTCGTTTAACCACAACTTAGATGAAGAAAATCTAGTCACCCTAGACAAAAATTTTCAGTCTCTCTCCAGTCTCTTAGAGTCTTTCAGCGTCTCTGAGAGTATCTCTCACAGTCTCTCAGTTATTGCCTAGGTGTTTTTATGGATCTCTTACGGTCTTCGTATGAGAGTCTCGAACGATAAAATTGTTACTTCTCACAGAGAGACTGAATGAATAAAACTGAAAAATTGAGAGACTCGAGTCTCTCGTAGAAAGACTGGGGTCTCTGAAATATGTTGAACTTTTAACCATGTCTATGGAGACATCACTTATTGAGAGATTCGAGTCTCTCGTTCAGAGATTCGAGTCTCTCGTTCAGAGATTCGAGTCTCTCATTCAGAGATTCGAGTCTTTCGTTCAGAGACGCTAAACAGTTTTTTCGACAGTGTCTCTCAGCGACACCGGAGACGGAGACTCGAGTCTCGCTTTCAGAGACTCTGAGAGACTAAACATTTTTATCTCGGGCATTTTACAGAGTAGGTAATTTTAACAAAAGTAAAAAGTTATCTCCTCTAGAAAACCTAGAATTCACAAAGAAACCTCTTAGAGCTCAGTTAGAGTTAAGTTTAATAGACTCCGCACGAAGTGCTAATTTTACATTTTACATTTTTATACCTACACAGATGTTAATAAACCTGGGATAAAGAGTTCCACTACTGAAGTGTAACCTTTGATTAACTAAGGTTCTTTTCTTCAAATCTTTTGGGTACAAAGAATCATCTTCACCATATTTTTCAACCAAGTAAGAATTAATTACATTGCTGTCCCAGACAACAAATCCATCGTCATCTACCAATGTTGGAACGGTATGTTGCGGATTTATCTAACAATGAAAATAATTAATTCAAATAAGTCCTTAAAGAGATTCAAAGTATCGTGGATGATGTGATACCTCCTTAGCTCATATGTCACTAACCTTTACGAATTGTGGTTGCAATTGTTCACCAGCAAATAAATTTATAGGTTTTAAATTAAACGTGATTCCAAGGGCTCTTCCTGTAAGAAGAACGCTTCGCGCCGGAGCACTTGCCACCGCCTAATACAATATCGGAGCCATTCTTATAATACTTTTAATACGGAATATCTTAGAAAACACATGAACTTTCTTTCGTACCTTGCTTACTGTACACTCTCTATTTCAGACATGAATGATCTAAAATAGATTCCCCACTTTCTAATTGTTTATCTCAATTTTGTCAAGTGTGAGGTCAAGGCAGGTCAGTTACATGGGACAACAAAAAATGTTTGTAACATGGAAGGTAATCTACAGTGCCATCAGTGACCTGTAAGATATTTATATTCATATTTATACTATCAGTCTAGTATTGGACAAAAACCAAAGGTAATTAGTGTTGAAAAGTATATTTGCACTGAAAAAAAGAGCAAGTGATTCGTATGCTAACAACGTCGGAGGTTGAAGAGGGAAGAACAAAAACATAGTCATTCCTGACGTAATCTGCGACGTTGAATTTCGAATTTTCCTGATATTCCAATCTTAAAACCAAACACCCCAAATCAGCGTCATACAGATCTTGAGGTTAAGATATTTGAAAATTTTGATGCGCCGGGAGAATTCCGGTATTGAACATTGCAAGATATTGTAAGATCATGTAGTATAAATACTATAACTGGAATAGAGATATCTCAACTTTATAAATAATAAACAGAAATAGTTTTCCTGCTAACATTCATTTGATAAAACGGTTAATTAATTAAATGTGTATGCGGCTTATCCATATACTTAAGTAATTGTCTCCATGCGGAACCAATTAAAAATATGAACCCATTTATTAGTACAATGACCTAAAAATGAAATAAACATATCAATAAAATTAAAATTGCACCGTTTGATGTTGAAATGCAAGAAGATTGATACATGCTGAAACGTGAACAATAATAACTTTATACAGAAAATGGAACGAAAATTGTTGAGCGTTGAGCGTCATGAAATTTTCACACATCAAAACCGTATTTAGCAAGGGTTTGTTGAAACCAATTTCTCAAAAAGTCTATGCTATATGAAGTTTAGAGCTACGATAGATTTAGATACAATTAGGAACAATTGTGTCGAACATATTTACTAATGAGTTATCCAACCAAGTATTAAAATATTTATGAATAATCCTTGGAATTGGGCCATGGATACTCATACCAGTTGGATTAAAAAGGAATTCCCCTTTTTTACCCCCCAGTAAATGTTTTTTATCATTCGACTTTGTTATACGATCTTTGTATTCTGAGGTCTGAACCAATTTGTCCGATAAATATGCAAACTGAGCTTCTAAATTGCGGTATGTGTGACGTATGGTCTTGCGCACTGGCTTCAGCACGGGAGGGAGTCTCTCTAAATGGTAGGTGACCATTGCATCATTAAGGGGACGCGTACAGCCATAAGGGGCAGTTTTTTCACTGGTTCATTTTTACTCTTGTGGACGATGAAGATTAAACAACATATGGAACAGCGACCAAACGATGAATCTTGGGAAAGCCCTCAGAAAATTAATAATATGTGAGGGCTGCTTATGGAAGTTACACAACCCTACTTAAGTGGATGGGGTGTTTTGGTAAGGGCTGTGAAGTTTGCAAAGATAATGTAAGACCAGAATGACTCTCGACTTCCTGTGCTGATGAAAACATCATACGAATGCAATTCGTTGTTCTATCTGACTGCTGGTGATTTAAATTTGGGAAATAGTGTGATGGTAATGGAAGAATACTGCATCACAACAATAGGTCCCTACATTAATGAATGAATGTTACTGTCCTTAATTCGACCTCCCTATTCGCCAGACTTAGCCCCCTGCGATTTTTTTTATTTCTTAAATGAATGATGATCATGCTAGAGTTGATACTGAGGAGATGCAAAAACTATGAAATATGAGACGGTTGAAGATCCTTACTTCCATGAACTTCTAGGGATGTTATGAACATGTTACATGTGCACTACGATAAATGGAAAACAATTCGGAGTGGTTAACATGGATCTACTCTTACTTCAGTTCTGCTACGTATATTTGCAGGACGTGATTCTTTCAAAAGTTTTTATAAAGCATTTGAAAGAATGAGGAAGAACAATTACACTTCTAATTAGATTTTTATAATTAAAATCTTACAAGTAACGTACAATAAAAAATACATGTCAAATAATGAATAGATGTAGGTAATACAATTTGTTCCATATTCCTTTCTTAATATTGAAGGAAATAACTTCGTAATATGTATCATAAGTAGTCTTAATATTAATTCTATCGTCCACATCGTTTCTTCACTTCTTCGGCATACACATTGAGACCATTTTGGTTAGCTGAATTGTAATATGGTAGTGATTCTATTCGCTGGATCCAAGCAGTCAACTTCGGATACAATTGTGGACAAATTGGAACAAACATTTCCATTGTTGTAACAGACGCTATAAGGCTGAAGTCTGCTATTGTCAGGCTGTTTCCAGCAATATAAGACTCGTTTTCAATGGACAGGAATGTTTCTAGAAAGGAGTATGCTTCTTTTATGGCAGCAACGTGATTTTCGGTGATAGATTTGGACTCTCCAAACCAAATTTCTTTCTGTAAGGAAATGAGAATTAGATTCAATTGTTTTGATATAGGTAACAAATGTAACCAACCCCTTGACAAAAAATTTCAGTCTCTCCCCAGTCTCTCAGAGTCTTTCAGCGTCTCTGAGAGCGTCTCTCACAGTCTCTCAGTTATTGCCTAGGTGTTTTTATGTATCTCTCACAGTCTCTTTATGAGAGACTCGAACGATAAAATTGTTAATTCAGAGATTCGAGTCACAGAGAGACTGAATGAATAAAACTGAAAAATTGAGAGACTTGAGTCTCTCATAGAAAGACTGGGGTCTCTGAAATAAGTTGAATTTTAACTATGTCTATCGAGACAACACTTCTTGAGAGATTCGAGTCTCTCGTCCAGAGACATCACCAAATGAGGATTTCTCTATGAGCGACTCGAGTCTCTCGTTTAGAGACGCCAAACAGTTTTTTCGACAGTCTCTCTCAGCGACACCAGAGAGACTCGATGAGAGACGGAGACCCGAGTCTCGCTTTCGGAGAATCTGAGAGACTGAACATTTTTATCTCGGGACCCCAATCCAACATCTTTTAAAATCCCTATAACTTAATATTATAAATTTTAAAATTTAAATCTTTTTGCTGTATTTTTCTCTCAAGAATGGTCTCCTGGCAGAAACGATATCGTAGAGAAAATAAAGTCTTCAAGATATTAACTATGACAACCAGTTGAATTTTGTTTGTTTCTTTAAAACTACAGATGCAATTTTCAACATTTTTTATTTCAGAAAAGTACAAAGTTGACTTATTATTTTAGACAATAACTCATTACGATATGATCCAAAGGGCTGGAGCAGGCTGATGATACCGACTAAAGTTAAGGTGGTTTTCTATTTGCTTAGAAAGAAGAAAGTATTTTCTAACTAGAAGCCAGAGTGGTATTATCTTTCTAGATACCTAATATTTGGTTTTTATTTACCGTAATGGGATCTAACTTTGCGAATAGGATTCCACTGTCAAAATGCAGTCTTTGATCCACTACAGCCCTTTCCTTAGGGTCTCTTGGATACAAGGAATCATCTTTCCCATATTTTCCAATGAGATATGCATTTATAGCATGACTGTCCCAAATTGAAAAGCCATCTTCATCTACCAACGTGGGAACTGTATGTTGTGGATTTATCTGCAAATAGATACTATGGTATGTCCAGTGATTTAGCCCTATCCAAAAACAGATTGTGCTTTAATTTGTTGTTTTGCAAAATTTGTTATAAACAAAAAACATTGGAGAACTTTAATATAATTTATTCAGAAATAAATTAGCTTCATTATCTACATTGCATTTAAAATGCAAATACAAAATAAAAAATACCTACTTTTATCTTGCATTCAAATACTTTTTTGAGAAAAGTATTTTGTATTTTATTTGAAATAGTTTTCCGAACGTATTTTTTATTTGTAAAATACAAAAGTAAATTTTTGCCTTTGAAAGTTTTGCTAGTATCACCGATCAAATATTATATAAAATAATGAATGAAATGAAAATTTTAAACTCCTTAGAAATGGATAATCTAAAATATTGGATCGATATTTTTTTCCTGGTTCAATGTCATGGTCTATGGAATTTTGAAGTTTCAAATTGATATCAGCAATTACGACAAAACAATATCAAATTGATATACGTCAACTGTGTAAAACTGAAAACTACAAGATATTGTGAGGTGCTAATTAATGGATGTAATCCAAAATTCTTAGAAAACGATACCAAAAACATCACTTATTAAATAAACCCAAAGCTAAAAAACTTTGGGTTCCAATTCTTTCTCTTATTACAATGTGTAAAAGATCAGAAACCAAACGGGGTTGTAAATATTTTGATATAAAATGATTGATGTTGATTTTAATCAATAAAATTATTTGCAACCCTATTTTGGCTCTGATTGTTCACGCTAAACAAACTATTTAGGCATAAGTGTCTTTTCTCCAATTAAAACGCTTGATAAAGGTAAATAAGGAAGCATATAGAAGAATTATTTGTTGCTGAACTGAAGAAACTATAATATAAAGAAAGAAAAACTATATCTCAATCATTTAAAACAGGAAAATATGAATCATACTTAATCTTCGCAGCTGGTGATATAGTGGATACACCACTATTACCTTGGAAAAACTCCAATATTTAAAAAAATTAGAAAACGCCTGCAAGGTTTTCTTAAGAAATATTTTATACTTAAGTAAATGTAGAAAAATAAATAGGTTCTACAAAAAAGTATTTATTTAAGAAGAAGTATTTTAAAAGTACGTATTTTGCATTTAGCATTTAAAATATAAAAGGGAAATCTATTTTGTATTTTACATTTGAAATAACAAATCAAAAAAGTATTTGCATTTTATAATGCAA